AGCTGTTGGAATGTTATTAATAAATACTTTAGTAAAGTAGATGGTTTGAACCTGGGAGTATTGTTCATGTTTGTAAATGTAGATTGTCCAGGTTGGTATAGTCCTGAGAAGGACTGTTTTTGTTGTTGTTGACTGACGTTTCGAAAACCTTAGCGGTAGTCATCTTCAGAGTCAAATGAGGAGTAAACGTCAGGTTAGCCGTGTTTTAAGTCAGGTTAGCGGTATTTAAGTCTGGTTATAGAAATTAAAGAAACCTTAACATGTTTAAATTCGTGTATTTTACTTCAACAGAAAATTCAGAGTCAAATGCTACCGCTAAGGTTGTCGAAACGTCAGTCAACAACAACAAAAAGAGTCCTTCTCAGGACTATACCAACCTGGACGATCTACATTTACAAACATGTAAAAATACTTTCGTATAAATATGATTTTCTTCATTAAACAATCTTCTTGTTTTAATTTTCTTCAGTCCTATTGATGTGTTAAATGATAAAAATCTGCGCCTCAATACCATCTACTATCTTCAGAAACAAATACTTCCTCCATTGGATCGAGTTTTTTCCTTGATTGGTGTTTATGTGTTTTCATGGTATACACAACTACCCCGCTATATCCCTCGACATCGTGTTATTGCAAGGAAACAAAAAGTTAGTTGTCATGAGTACATTCATGAATTGATGTAAAAGGTAAATTAATTTATTTGAACAAATTTTAGCGTTCGATTTCTCGGTTTTTTACAACTCTACCCTGTCCTGTATGTGAACTATTAACACAGCACGGTTTGTGTCAAAGTTGTCGTAGCAACCCTCAAAAGTCTGTCTTTATTCTGGCAAGTAGAGTGGGGAACTGGGAAAGAAAATACAGTCATCTTAAAGAGGTATGCATAATAAATAACCTAATAATTATGGTTTCTCTTTTTCATGACATTTAATTATTTTTCATATTGTAGATATGTTTTCACTTAGCTGGATATCATTGGATTGTCCTGTTATGTTTAAACTAGAGAAGTTAAAAACAAATATGGAATATGGAATGACATTAAGAGACTTTCAAAAAACAATTGAAGAAAGTTATAGTCAGTCAGAGGTAAACAATATAACCACCAAACGTTGATGGTATATTATCATCGTTGAATTCTTGATGAAATAGAGATTTCACATTTTTCACTAGAGAATTTTCTTGGCGAAGCACATTTGTTATAGATTTAACTTTGTGAGGTTAAACCAAAGGCAGCCCAAAAATCACTTAAATTGTATAAACAAACGATAACTCGCCCCATTCCATTGTAACAGACCGTGCCCCGCAAACTTTGTATTGATTAATTGTATCTATATTATATATTCATTTATGTATTTGTTTTATTATTTATTAATATTTTTTTAGGTAAATATATAATATAGATACAATGAATCAATACAAAGTTTTTGATGGAATGGGGCGAGTTATCGTTGGTTTATACAATTTTAGTGATTTTTTGGGCCGCCCATGGTTAAACTTTGTTATTTAAACATTCATATTTTTATAGCACAAATCTAAAGGGTTTTGGACTTCCAGTTATTTATAATGAATCATAATGGATCATCATTTCGCTATTTTGTCAAGGATTGCCATCTAATACAGGTATAAATGTACATAAATGATTACAAGAAATATTTTTTTGCTCAATTGACTTAACTTCTTTGGATGTACTAGACAATGTCATTTCTATTATTCGTAAAATATTCTTTAGTTTTTGGACCACTAACATGGTTTCATTGTAACTCATTATTTTCGATATCAACAGACACATAAATGCAAGCAAAAGATTAATTAAGCATAGACGGACAAACAACGAAGCATGCAACATACATATCAAAATAAGCCGAATAACAAATAGTGACTTTTAAACAATTTTCATGTTAATAAAATTTTTATTTCTTTAATTCATTTAACGTTTCACCAGGTTGGTTGCTGACGCTTTCGACAATTGTTTGTTTAATGTGCTTATAACGTTTTAAGTTTTCCTTTTAATAATTATACAGAATGTATCATTGAAACATTCTTTATAAAATGATAATTTCTAAAAAATAGGCACTCGATGAGTACGTAAGGATTTGCTTTTTTATGATTGACAATTACAAAATATCAGTATGATTGATATAATCTGACAAAAATGGGTGGGAACTTAAAATGCTGGGTATCAATACACAACACCATAACAAGGTTTTGCCAACACAACCACTAGTACTTTGTTGTTTACATTTTCTATGTTATGTATCTGCATAATGTCAAAAACATCTCGCTATTGCCTGCGTTTCACTAGTCTATCGAACATTGGTGTCTACTATCAAAACTCTAAACAAAAAAACTTTTAATTTAATAAAATTTGGGAATGGTATATAAAAAAGTGGAAGTATAAATTACACTATATCTTAGTAAGGAGATGCCCCGATCCTCATCGAAGACATTTCTCGATACTACCTTTGAAAACGTTTTAAACTATGAATTAAAAAGAAAATAATGCTTCCTTACTATTATGTTGTTTGCTTATAAATTTTTAAAATTAGCCCTGTTCCTCATCAGAAAATTTTAAATAATGACAAACATTAATGTCGAAATGTTTGTTCAGGCGGTTAACGAATATTCGAGTTCTCGGAAAATACCGCCATTTTTTAAGTGCTTTTATGTCATTGAGTTTACTCTTTATCTTAGGCCTGTGTAACGTCGAATTTTACATTAGCCGAATGCATTTAAAACAAAAGATATCGAGGATTTTTTTCTCATTTTATTTTGTTTTTAATGCATTTGGTTCATGTAAAATGCGAGGTTTGAAAAGAACCTTACCCTTACAACGACATAAAGAATTTTGTTCTTAAGCCTGGTTCACATATGACTGAGACATGACTGAGGCATTATTAAGGGCAAGCCTGAGATGCTTTCTAATCTTGTTACTGAGGCAGACCTGAGGCATATCTGCAATGCTTTTCAATGACATAATTCAAATCGCCGATTCACCACAAAAATTCAGCGGCAGTTTGAATTTGACAAAATAGTGCTTCGTAATTTGAAAATAGCGTTACTATTAGCAAATTATGCAGCCCTTTTAACAGTCATTTCAAAATACATCAAAGATGTGAGCGCCGGTTTGAAAAAAAGAGAATAATTTGTATTTTATTCTTTGATTTTTGTACTCTGGACACGATTTATCATAAATAGCCCGATATTTGCGTATTGTATCCATAAGTTTTTATTTTTATCGTAAAGTGATTGGAATTTTTCCATTGAGTCTTTTTTTGGTTCCATGTCCCGTGTTGAAAATTCATCCGCCATCTTTTTACCAAAATGCATGATGGGAAATATTGCCGCCTGGTCAATCTGAGAATCGTTCACATTTAACAGAAATAACCAAAATGTGTTCCATACACCGCCGTTTAGCCGTCGACATGCCGGGAAACTTGAACACAACTCAACTCTAAGGACATTTCGGCGGCATACTACAGGTAACTCGTACGACTGCCTGAAACACCATTAGTGTGTCAGTGATGAGTGTTTACATTTGCCTTAAGAACAACGCAGGCCTCGTCACAGGTATGCCTCAGTCATGTCTCAGTCATATGTGAACCAGGCTTTACGCAAGCAGCAAACCTTAAAAATTAAAGGGTTGACTCATGAAAAACAAAAAGAAATGAGATTCAATTAGCAATTCATTTTTACTTGTGTACCATGTCAATGCGTAATTTAAAACTCTACATTCCTACATATACGAAGAATATTTGCCGAAAGCGAAATATAGTTTTGACTTTTTCGATAACATGTTCAGGTAAATGTGATTTTTGATATTCGTGTTAGGAGAGAACTCTCTCTTTGATTGAAGTGTGAAATGTAAACGACATTAATATCTTTATGCAAAATGTGTGACCTAAATATACGTCTTCTTATAAAGTTTTCGTTTTTGTTAATGTTAATTCTTTGCTTTATTTTAGACGTGAACATTTTTCTGTTAATGCGATCGAGAAACATAGAACAAATGTTTGTGGTTTTAATTCACCATGATGGACGACTTATTTAAATAAAGAAATTGATAATTGACCACGATGAAAACGTATTTGGTAATCTACCTCGTCTGAATTTCTTTATAACTGAGGAAATATTAAGATAGTAAGTATCTTTTTCCTCCTTCATCGTTTTTAACAGTAATTTTACAAGACGTATATATATTGTGAGTCCACCAGGCCGTTTACATGGCAAGCTATGACTGGGAAATGAAAAGATTTTGCTCTTTAGCGACGTTTCAATCTCCAGTATCTCCAAGTCAAATGCAGTTCATTGGCCTTTGGCTGTTTTAAAACGTTTTCCTGAGCATTTTTCTTTCTTAGATCACGATTCTTGTCTCGACAATTGATCGAAAGACAAGTCACTTTTAACCATCGATTTATGATGGTAAGATTTTTACAACAACAAAATAAACTCATGAGAAATTTATGTTTATCTCAGGTGTTTAAATTAACTATTGTAACTTTACATAATTCCATTTTCTTTACAGATGAATAAAATTACGCCATTATCAAACGCCAAAATTTCGACATTTTTCAATGTGAAAATCTTGTGGAATAAAAGCATGGAAAAAAACAAATCATAAAAATCCTAATTTTCTTACTGCAGTCAATATTTACAATTTCATGCCGTGTGCGACATGCACAGTTGTAAGAAATGGCCAATCTTGCTTCTGTGCTTGCCGTCGTCGACATGAAACTGGGGATGTTTGTTAGATGGCCTGAAAATTAGCTAGATACGATGGTTAATATCGTCCATTCTTTTTCTTCCGAAACAATTTTAACTGTTTTCAGTTTGTTGGTTGAAATGTCTAAAAGGAAATGAAAAAAATAGTAATTTATCTTTTTGTGAAACGACAATCCTTGCACATCATAATGTTTTTGTCTGACTTTAGTCTTTACGTCTACTTTTGTGTCTACCTTTTTGTTTCCATTAGTCTTCGTCTTTTTGTCAATCTTTCGTGTATCTTTTTGTATATCTTTTTGCCTTTATTTGTGTTACCTTTTTCTCTATGGTTTTGTCCACCTTTGGGTCTACCTCAGCTTCTATACATTTGCGTCTCTCTTTTGTTATATATTCGCTTTATAATATAAAGAGTTATATCACAGGAAGAAAAAAGTCTCACAGGAAACCCACAGATTTCTATTCTGGGCCCTTTGTTATTCTTAATATTATTCAACGACTTGGCTAATGTGATGCAATCCTTTAGTTAGGTGATGAGAACTTACAATATAAAGGAGGTTTATAAATACTTTGGCACAGAAATAGACAGTGTTAATCTGAATTCCATTTTAATAAATGCTGCGTCGTTTATGTTCAAAATAGTGCGTGAAAATGGTAAAAATTGAATCCTTGAGGATCAATTTTTGCTGAATCATAGAAATTGTAAATGTCAGATAATTTCAAATATTTTCAAGGTTGAAAAATGGGACATCACCATGAAATATGTGATAGTCAGTCAACAAACCAGCAAAATCAAAGTGAAGCACCTTTCATGTTGATGGAAAAATGTTCAAAGGTGAAAGAATGCGACTTTGACCAAAATTTTTCAACGCGCTTGCATTTCACTCATTTTCCTTCCAAATCGCAACAAACAAAAGCATTCCATATCTTAAACCTAGAACTCTTTTTTTAAATATTTAAAACTACAGTTATTTATTCAGTAATTTACACACATCAGCAAATAAAATTTGAATTACCTCTTTGAAACATCCTGTATCAAGAACTTAGATCCCCAGACCGTGGGGTTTCCCCTTTCATTAAATCAACTTAAATGTATATTTTATTAAATACGTGTATAATTTACGGAAAATAAAAAAAATAAGAATCAGAGGAAGATATCAGAATTCAGTCCTTTAATAACACCATGACAACTCGTAGCGTTTAGCAAGTCTACAAGTGCTATGAAAATAAATATTTTGTTGTTCAATTACTTTTTCGTTACTCACTACACTACATATGAGATGACAACAGTAAATATGGGCCAGACACACATAAGTAGAGTAAAAGCTCCATTTTTCTTGACTACATCACAGCTCTTCCAGTTATAACACCCTGTTTATATAGTAGCAGTATCTCTCTAACAGTGTCCACCTCGATTCTATATAATATATAAATATTATTCTTCTAATTGTATCGTACCTGTCTGTATTAACAGCCTGGTTTGTAATTTAAGATGTTCTGCTCTTTGTCTTATTATTATATTATTCAATTTTTTCTCTCTTTTCTCTTCTTTCTTTTTGCTCTTGTCTTTTCATACGTACTCTTTTGAATTCACTATTCATCTTACCACGTAACCTACTCTACGCTACTTTCTAAATAATAGACCCCGACGGCCGGCCGCGCGGGCACTGGGGGAGGGCCGGCCGTCTTTGGCTCCTGGCGTTGTCCAGGCTTTGACCTTCACTGTAATTATGCTAGCATACGTACGCGAACTAGAGTTGGGGCACTTAGATTTGTGTATAATAGGTCCCAAGGTGTGAGGTGGGCCAGAAACGACGCTTTCTCAAGTTGAGGTGAGCCAGAAATGACGCGTTGTATACTACTCATGCAATGGGTCTATAGCCACCCAACGTACGTACGCTGGATAATAAGGATGTTTAAAAAAGGTTTATGTTAAATAAATACTTTTTGAACAGTCATATGTAACTTTTTGGTAGTTATACAATGTAGTATATGATAAAAATTGATGTTATATATACGTGGGTAATAGCCGCCCAACGTACGTACGCTGGATAATAAAGGTGTTTAAAAAAAGTTTTTGTTGAGTAAATACTTGGTGTAAGCCTGGCAACTCGATGGAGCACATGTCTTGCCGATTTTGAAATGTTTATTATCTCGAGTGAAATTAAAGATAAAAAGCAACAACGAGCATTACTTCTCTGTCAAGATGGTTCACGCATTCGTGAAATATTTCGACAGCTCAACGATACAGGCGACGACAGCGAATTTGAACTTGCGAAAACCAAATTAACGGAATATTTTGAGCCTCAAAAAAATCGGCAATATGAAGTGTACAAATTTCGCGAAGCCAAACAAGAACAATCAAATACAATTTCATACGCAATTGAGAAAATTAGCTCAAACATGTGCTTTTGATGATGTTGACTTTGAGGTGGAACAACAGATAATCATGGCGGGGTCTTCTTCGAGGATACGAAAGAAAGCACCAAGAGATCCCGAGTATAAACTCAGGGATATTTTGCTGGACGGCCGTAGAGATGAGCAAAGCACTTATCAAGCACGGGATATCGAGTCAAAGGACAAAAATAACGACATGTTGGCCACCATCCAATCTGAATCGACGGGAAAATGTTATTATTGTGGCAGTCCATACTCACATCAAGGCTACGAAATTATTTATGTAGCTGGGAGAATAAGTTTCAAAGCAATGTAAAGTATAAACTATAGCAAAAGCAAGACATGAATGTCATAGCAATGAAAATGACTCATTACTGTCCAATATCAGTAGTAAAGACACCAGTAGAAATGACTCATTTAGTGTTCTTACAGTTGTAAAGATATTAGCCAAAAATGTCTGGTCATGTCATTCACTCCTGAACATGGATACATACTTTAAAGGAGGGTGTTGCTCTAGAAATATATTCCTAATATAAACTTTTTATAGTTTGTACAGAATTTCTCTAATGTTCAAATGTTTTTGAAAAAAATAAGAAGTTCCTTGCAAAATGAAATACTAACTGTTACACACAATGCCAGAGCTCTTCAAGATGCCCTGGAAACAAATTTATTTTGGGTAGGAGGCACATATTCATATACTCATGTTCTGCCACATTAAGTTCTTTTGAAACCATTATTTTTAACGGATTAAGACATGCATATATGAAATTGTGCCTCCCCCCCAAATTAACATGTATCCTGTGCCACTGCTGGGATTTTTTATATTTTAGTAAAGCTGGTAGTCTAAAATCTGATAGTCGGACAGTTAAATGTGTCATTTTCACTTCTGTCAATGCTATGGCAATGATATCCTGCTTTTTCTTCTTAAGGTTATTTACAACTTTTACTTTACATTGCCTTTGTATGATTGAATCAAATAACAATAACTGCATGTCCATTTCAAACAATTACAATTCTCATAAATAAAAAGTATATTTTGTAAATTGTATGAATGAATAGAAATAAATATAGAAAAGACTATTCATACTTAAAGCGGTTATACATGAAAGCGATTATACATTCATTTTGACTCTAAAGATGACTTCATATAGCACGTTTTCAAGGCATTATTAATACGTTGTATATTTAATCGCTTTCATAAATATGTATTTCCTAGGTGAAAGTGTTTCAAAAAGCACTGGAATACTGGCAAATCGCATCGACAAAATATCTATAACAAATTAAACTGAAACATACAAATGAATGTAGTATGAAACTAAAATACCTTTTCAGTATTTTAATCCATCAAAAAGTTGCCCCAAAGTCCACACAAATACAAGGAAAAATAAACGCAAATATCAATATATTGAAGAAATTGTGTTGTTTCTCATTTGTTGACCAGTATATAGTCGTGTCTCACTCGTATGTACTCGTATGTCAGCCGTATGTACTCGTATGTCACTCGTATGTACTTGTATGTACTTGTATGTCACTCGTATGTACTCGTATGTCACTCGTATGTACTCGTATGTACTCGTATGTACTCGTGTGGTGTTTTAGTCACGATCGTTATCAACATGGTCGGGTCCAAATGTTTTTGTTTCAATTTGTATCGCTCGTTCATAAAAATGTTTTGCTATTTCGTACTCTCCCATATCATTGTAAACCGAACCCAGGTTGTTGTACGTTGTCGTAATTTTAACATGGTCAGGTCCAAATGTTTTTGTTTGAATTTCTATCCCTCGTTCATAAAAATGTTTTGCTTTTTCGTACTCTCCCATTTTACTGTAAACCGAACCCAGATTGTTGTACGTTGTCGCAATATTAACATGGTCAGCTCCAAATGTTTTCGTTTCAATTTCTATCACTCGTTCAAAAAAATGTTTTGCTATTTCGTACTCTCCCATATTTATGTAAACCAAACCCAGATTGTTGTACGTTGACGCAATATTAACATGGTCAGGTCCAAATGCTTTTGTTTTAATTTCTATCCCTCGTTCATAAAAATCTTTTGCTTTTTCGTACTCTCCTATATTTATGAAAACCGAACCCAGATTGTGGTACGTTGACGCAATATTAACATGGTCAGGTCCAAATGTTTTCGTTTCAATTTCTATCGCTCGTTCATAAAATGTTTTGCTATTTCGTACTCTCCCATTTTACTGTAAACCGAACCCAGATTGTTGTACGTTGTCGCAATATTAACATGGTCAGGTCCAAATGTTTTCGTTTCAATTTCTATCGCTCGTTCATAAAAATGTTTTGCTATTTCGTACTCTCCCATATTTATGTAAACAGAACCTAGATTGTTGGACGTTGTCGCAATATTAACATGGTCAGGTCCAAATGCTTTTGTTTGAATTTTCATCGCTCGTTCATAAAAATCTTTTGCTTTTTCGTACTCTCCCATATTATTGTAAACCGAACCCAGATTGTTGTACGTTGTCGCAATATTAACATGGTCAGGTCCAAATGTTTTTGTTTGAATTACCATTGCTCGTTCGAGAAAATTTTTAGCATTTTCATATTCTCCATTCTTACAAAGCAACTCACCCAGATTGTTGTACAAATATGAAACATCAATATGATCAACACCTAACACTTTAGTTTGAATTTCTGTTATTTCATAAAGTACTTTAGTTGCAAGTTTATAATTGCAAAATCTTTCTAAAACATCTACAAAATATTTGGCAAATTTCCAATTTCTTTCATCAATTTTTTGTTTTGATGATTTTACATCGATCAACTCATTTAGGAAATGTTGAAATGATGAATTTGTTATGAATTTAATTAGATGTGGAATTATTTTGATTTCATCTTCTCTGTCTTCAAAATGATTTAGCGCCCAAGCAATTCGAGAGGCAAGATCAGCTGCTGAGGAATTATTTTCGTTTTGTTTACAGCCAAAGGTTTGCGATGAATAATTTATGATGGCTTCGTGTACAACGCTGTGCAGGCGGATGTCGTTGTTTTCCGTTTGAAGGAATAAAGAACAATGCTCTAATTGAAGACAGACATCTTCTGCAGATTTTTGTGGATCAATGCTTTTAATAAATGATATTATAACATCTTGTGGTAAAGGATCGAAAGATATTATTGAGAAAAGCTTAAAAACATGTTCCAACAAGATGGATTCTTCGGCATTTTTTTGTACTGCTAACATAACAGTTTTCATTCCTAAGTAAGTTGAGTTTATTTTTTGAAAATTGCCATCCATTTTCTGTCGCTTTCCTTCATTTAACTTATACAAATATTGCTCCCACGTGAATGTCGGATTTGCACTATGTAAACCACCTACGTAGGAAGCAGCATTTGCCAGGAACAACGGTTGACGATCTAATTTGTCTGATAAATCCTTTAAAAATTTTTTATCTTTATTATGAATATCAGAAAGTACAGATAGAAGTTCTCGACATTCTTCATAATTCATACCATGACTAACTGAAATGTGTTTGTTTAGATTTCCATCTGGTGGTATAGCATCTGTATTTTGGACAGTTACTATAATTTGACCATTTTTCCAGCTATGATCACCAACTTGAGGCAATAATGGATAAATCTTATGAAGTTCAACCACGTTATCTACAACAATCCACCATGTTTGCCAGGATTTCAGTTGTTGTGTCAGCAATAATTGAAAATCTTTGATTTTGTCTTCGCTGCTTTTTGCTTCTTTCAGAATATTTTCAATGACAGTTTTATCGTTGCTGAATCGTTGATAAAGTTCAGCATAAGTTTTTAAAAGAGAGTCGATACCTTTTCCGTCAAGTGTCATCACAAATGTCGTATTCTTTTCCCAATCAAACGAGTTATACATTTCTTCACAAACTTGTCTAGCTAATTGCGATTTACCACTGCCAGGATTACCAGAAATATAGTAATATGTTAGTTCATTATTGTTTGCACTGCGCAAGTTATTGAGATCTGCTGTGATTTGATTAAGTAATTCTGTACGTTTAACCACATCGTGATTTGATTTGCAAGGAAGTACTTGAAAAGAATAAAATAGGTTTCGTTCACTTTTTATTTTGGTAATTTCAATGAATGAAAATCTTAAATCTTGAAATGAGTTTTCAATATCACAAAGCATTGTACGAAATTTCAAATCAGAAACTTTTCCTTTATTTTCATGGATGAATTTGTTTCTTACATCACGAAGTTTGTCCACAGCAGCTTTAACTTTATCATTAATGTTTGTTCCAATTGAGTGGGTAAACAATATTGCTTTACATATTGTCGTGCAATCCCACTTACTTGTGTCACCATCTTTAAGTTTTGACAAAATTTTTTCATCACGAAATATTTTTTTTGATCTTTCAATGTTGAACAATTTCTGACCACTGACGTTTGTATTTTCCCATTCTCCCAGAGATTGTTTGTACTGAGTGTTCCATTCTTGGATAAAAAGATGAACAAGTTTCTTTTCAACATCTGTCAGTACTTTCTGCAGAGAGGAGTTATTAATTTCTTCTCTTGACTGCATCTAAAGGTCATAAAATTATTAATATTATCGTAAATTGGTTCTTTACTTAGAGTTTATAGACAACAAAAATTGTTGAAGATCAAACATAGCTACGTAATGTTACAGTTTTACTTGTACGTGTAAATGAATTGCGACGATGGCAGCTGAAAACAAAACAAGTGGAGATTTTAGTTTTCCTGCATTTAGTCTTTTGCCTACATTTTGGTAGCGGCGTCGCCAGGATTTTGCGAGTATAGGGCACGAAATTTGTACAACGTCAGTCGCTATCGAAATGGCCCTAACAATTGCTTCTACACTGGGAAGTTTTTGAAATGTTTATCACAACATGAATAGTTTTAATTTTTTAACTTCCCAATTCAACCTTGGCAGATTTGTACATTCATCGTGTTATAACGTTACGTAGATTGATTATTGATTTTAATGAAATATCTTCATATTAGAATACTTCCAGAATTGCAGTATCGTCATGAGCCTTACTCTTAGTCATTGCTATATTTGTATTTTTGTGTCTACAAGTTTGAGTCTACGAGTATACTTGTCCACGATCTCATACAAGTTCTATGATATGGTGTAATGTCGTTCATGATAAGCATCACAATGTTACTTGTTCTTCCTTGCCTACTAGAGACTTGAATTATTGTAGAAGTATTGTTTTGTTTTGTTTATTTTTAAGAAATTAAAATCTTCAACACTTGCCTAACAACCCAGAAAGGGTTTATGCAACGCAAACTAGTCTGCACAGCTAATAGAATGCTTCCCTTTACAGTAAAGTAGTGCGAATTTCGTAAGAGCTACATTAATGTTGTTTGCTTCTTTTTCAATTTGGAATGATGAATATGAAGACTCTTATCTAAAATTCTAATGGGGGCATTTGGAGGCACGTACCCCCTCTCCAGGCTGCACTTTAGCGACGCAACTGCATGTTGGAATGAAGATGGAGGTACTGAGTTATATTATCACTTAGGAAGGTGTTTAACAACTTGTCTAACTGACACACAAAGTTTGTGCATTCAGTCTACTTGAATACAATGAATACTTAGTCAGCTGTACAATAGAAATATCTATAAAGTAAAAAATAAAAAATAATGTACAATATAGGACATGTCATTTAAGTCATGTTTTATAGAGAAAAAAACACAAAATATTCATTCTAGTTGTGTAGAATGGAGATTGAGACTGTGTCCAGGCGTAAAATTAAAAAATTAATCAATTACTCACCGTGAAATATTGTGGTGTATTCTGGCATTGCCGTTTTATAGTATTCTGTATGTAATCGACATGCAAATTTCATGTAAATGCCATAAAATGTACAATTTACTTATTGTGTTTCTTTGCATGCTTTTAAAGTTTCTTAAAACATGCTTAACACTCGAAATGTTTTGGAAAATCTAGAAAATGACAAAAAAGCTCAAAAAATTTGTCTTACATTTTGTTGAGTCATGCTCATAAACCACAGAAACATGTTAAGGAAATAGTATGTGCGTAATTTTTTTACCAATGTATCCGTTTCCACACGGCTAACAGCCAAGGAACAGTTATTGACGTTAGTTAAATTTCCTTATGTACATATATAGCTTAAATAGAGGAACTATTCCGACAAATAATAATATTTGTTATTTGTAATAAAGACTATAAATACTGCTCTGTAAAATAATAAAAATCAGTTTGATCATTAAGTTCACTCGTGGTTGTTACTGAAGGTATAGAGTATATTACGAAAAGAGATATGGCGAGTAACTCGAGCTCGACAGGTTATAGACCCAGGAGAAATTTGCTTTTCGATGGAAGCGAAAGCAAATACAAGTTATGGGAAGTAAAATTCTTGGGCTATATGCGTCTTCAAAAACTGTACGACGTATTTATCGAATCAGCAAGTGAGAGAGAAGAACCAGCAGCTTCAAAACTGGCTGACGCTTTTGCAGAGTTGGTCCAATATCTTGACGACAGAAGTTTGTCTCTTGTGATTCGGGAGGCGAAAGACAATGAACGGAGAGCTTAAGAAATCCTCAGACATCACTATCAAGGCAGAGGAAAACCTTGAATTATCGCTCTTTACACGGAACTCACTTCACTGAAGAAAAGTGACGACGATACTGTCACAGATTATATATTGCGAGCGGAACGATCGGCAACAGCCTTAAGAGAAGCCGAGGAGATAATAAGTGATGCACTACTCATTGCAATAGTTTTAAAGGGTCTGCCAAGCACGTACGACGTCTTTGCTACCGTAACAGTTCAAAGGGAAAGACAAATGACATCTACGGCATTTCAAAACTCGTTACGAAGTCATGAAGAAAATATCAAACCATTGTCACCAAAAACTGAGGTAGGTGACAACGTTATGTATGTGAAGCCAAAACTTGACGGAAATGTGGAAGAAAGGGACACAAAAGCTCACAATGACGAGTGAAGGGGAACAAATGGTGCTCCATATGCAAGACCAAGACCAACCGCACGAAAGATTGCCGAAAGACGAAAGAAACGACCAAGTCAGCTAAAGACGAGCAGCGCCATGATAGCAAACGGCAACTCTCCTTTTTATTTGCGTCAAAGGATGAAAAAGAGAACGCTAAAACAGACGTGAAGGATAAGGATACAGTGAATTTAACTCTACTGGTGGACACAGGAGCTACAAGCCACATCATTAACAATAAGTCAAAATTTATAGATTTTTATAGTAAATTTGATAGTAAAGCGCATGTTATTGAATTAGCCGATGGCAGTAATGCCAACGTAGTTGTCGGTAAAGGTACTGCTAAAGTTAAATTAGTTGACTTGCATGGAAATGCGCAGGATGTCTTATTAAGTAATGTCTTATGTTCCATCTTACGATCAAAATCACTGAAACTACAAAGATGTTAGGAAACTAGAGAAGATGGTTAAGGGGATGAAAATCACAGACTTGAGGGAAGTTGAGTGTGAGGTTTGTACGCAAGGTAAAATGTGTCAGGTGAAAAGTAAGCTGGAAGATAAAAAGGTGAGGGGTCCTCTCGAGTTTATTCAAACGGATCTTGCAGGTTCTATTGATCCGAAAGGAAGAGAAGGGTTTAGATATGCGTAGTCGTTTGTGGATTGAATATGGTCTATTTTCTTAAGTATAAAAGTGATACACCACAAGCATTAAAACAGTTTTTAGCAGATGTTGCACCTTACGGAAATGTGAAGCGCATAAAAAGTGATAACGGCACTGAATTTACAAGCGAGAAATTCAAATCGATTCTTAGGGAAAAAAAATTAGGCATGAAACTAGTGCACCATATTCGCCTCACCAGAACGGCACAGTTGAGAGATCGTGGTTAACTTTATTTAATATTGCTAGAGGTCTATTGCTAGAAGGGGAATTAAAAAAGTCCTTGTGGACATATGCCGCCATGGCATCTGCTTATATTAGGAATCGTTGTTTTAATTCGAGGTTGAACAAAACTCTGTTCGAAGCGTTTACAGGCTCAAAACCAGACTTGAGCAAAATGCGCGTTTTTGGTTGTGTTTGTTATGGTTATTCACAAAATTCCAAAAGTTAGACCCTAGAAGTAAACAAGGTATTTTGTAGGGTATGATAAAATAGTCCAGCATATCTACTATACTACACTGACATTAACAAAGTAGAGCGTGTAAGATGCGTTAAGTTCTTCAGGGAGGGTAGCAGGGAACTGCCAGAACTAGATGATGAAGAACTTGCTTCTCAGATTTCAAAATTGCATGAAAAAAACCCTAAAGTAACTAACGAGGACATTAGTGCTCCAGAAACTATTAAAGAATCAAGAAACCCACTAGGATAAGAAGTAAGCCTAAATATCTTGACGAGTATGAGACAAAAGAAGTTTCAGGGGAAGTTACCGTCTCATATACCGTAGATTATTGCTATAGAGTATCCGACATCCCAACGACATATTCCCAAGCAATAAGCTCCAATGAAAGAGTAAAATGGCAAAAAGCCATGAATGATGAAATGAAAGCGTTAATTGACAATGATACGTTTGAACTAGTTCCACCCCAAACAAACAATGACATAAGGGGAATGGGTATACACCGTAAAAGTAGGGCAACATGAAGAAGAGACCCATAAAGCCCGTTATGTAGCAAAACGATACTCGCTAACTCCCGGTATTGACTACAAAGAAACCTTTTCGCCATCTGCATGTATGACTTTTTACCGTGTGTTGCTTCGACACGCTGTTCAAAACAACATTTGCTGCTTCTTTGTTATTGCATCAGATGGATGCAAAAACAGCTTATCTTAACGTCCCAATAGACTGCGTTTTTATATGCATCAACCCGAAGGATATGTGGAAGTAGATTATAATGGTGAAAAATTAGTGTACAGGTTGAAAACGTTTTTGTATGGATTAAAACAAAGTAGTAACAATTGGAATAACGTATTGCATGAACACTTAATCGGGAAAACTTTCAAACAATCATTAGTCGACCCATGCGTTTACACGCGATTTGAAGGAAAAGATGTTACTATTTTTATAATATGGGTAGATGATATTATCATTGTTGCTAACAATGACACATTAATGCAGAATGTCAAGAAAATCTTAAACGACCGTTTTAAGATGAAAGATTTAGGAATATTGTCCTGGTTCTTAGGGACTGAATTCAAATGCACAGAAAGTGAAATAACAATGAGTCAAAGGCAATATATTATTAAGTTACTGACAAAATTTGGCATGTCGGAGTGTAAACCTAAACCCACTCCGTCTTCTTCCGATACAAAATAAAATGTCGCATGATCAATCGCCTCAGTTAGAAGATCCGAGTCTTTACAGACAAATTGTCGGTAGTCTTATATATGTTTTGACAGGAACTAGATCTGATCTGTGCTTTATTGTAACAAAGCTGTCTCAAAAGATGGCAAAACCGACACAAGCAAACCTAATTGAGGCAAAGCATGTTCTTTCATACTTGAAGAATACAATAGATCAGACAATTACATTTAGAAAATGTGAAAGTGTTTTAAAATTTGTTAGTTTTTCTAATTCTGATTGGGCTGGCGATGCGGATGACAGACGTAGTATTTCAGGTTACGGTTTTAGGTTGAGTGAGAACGGTGTTTTGATTTCTTGGAGGAGTAAGAAGCAATCTACGGTTGCTTTGTCAACTTGTGAAGCTGAGTATATGGCATTGAGTGAAGCTATTCAGGAAGCAAAATTTTTGATACATTTGTGTGTTGATTTGCGTATTAGTAAGGAAGGCAGGTGTGTTTTGTTGAATGTTGACAATCAGGGCGCAATTAACAAGGCAAAGAACCCTATGTACCACAAAAGGTCTAAGCACATAGATATTAGATATCACTTTATCAGAAGTGAAATAAGGGCTGGTAAAATAGAAATCATGTGTGTAGCAACACGTGAAAATATGGCTGATATACTTACGAAAGCTGTAAGTAAGATTAAACTAAGTAGATTCAAAACATTTAAAACTGGTAAATAGGTATTAATTTGTTAATTTAGTTAATGAGCAAGGGGGGGAGGGGGGTGTTGAGTCATGCTCATAAACCACAGAAACATGTTAAGGAAATAGTATGTGCGTAGTTTAGTTTATCAATGTATCCGTTCCCACACGGCTAAGAGCCAAGGAACAGTTATTGAGTTTAGTTAAATTTCCTTATGTACCATATATAGCTTAAATAGACGAACTATACCGACCAATAATAATATTTGTTATTTGTAATAAAGACTATAAATACTGCTCTGTAAAATAATATAATCAGTTGGATCATTAAGTTCACTCGTGGTTGTTACTGAAGGTATAGAGTATATTACGAAAAAAGATATGGCGAGTAACTCAAACTCAACACATTTACACCAACAAAACAGTACCAGGTGTCTGTTTCTTACCATTATATTGGTGTGGCATAGGCTTATTAGAGAGGAGGCAAAGCACCCCAGAAGTTTGAGTGCCCGTCGGGCATTCGAGCTTAACTCCATGGGGTCGTTTGCATAGGCAATTGAAGAAAAGCTATAAAGAAGTCTACTTAACTAGGTTATATACAAGAGATGGAGCATGAAAGAACAGGCTTAAATAAAAGGGCGTTAGCTCACCTGCAATCTACATACACTACCATGCACACAGATTAAACTTAGCAATCAAGAAAAAACTCTCAAATGTTGAACCATTGTAAACAAAGTACACTTCAATCTATTTACACGTTTTTAAAAGAAAGCAACAAGTCACATACCGTTTTTGGTGATGGGATTTTTAACAGCAAACCAAAGCTCACACTTCAATCCCAATGTGAAACCAGGTGTTTGTGTCGTTACAAAGCCATCAATGCAGTTATTCGACACGTAGAGATTATTAATAAAGCGTTGCTTTAATTGACAAAACATAAGAATCCAAAAACATCACCGCAAGCGAATTTATAACTAGATTCTGCTTTGTTTTTCTAAAAATAAAATTGTGAAATGTCTTAAATATACATATTTACAAAGTAGCAGTATGGATGTTATCAGTGCTTGTAAACAGCACACAGAACCTTTTTTGCTCTTCAATGTTGTCGTAACGACAAAAACTTTGATAGTGTGTGGCAAATGGCGGAAATAGAATGTTATCAGAGACACGATATTTTTCTTTCAAATATGCAACTGCACCAAGAATTTATAATGATCACAGTATCACAGATATTGCTTATCATGCATCGAGCAAACACTTATTTTGTTGTTTTAGTGAACAAAGATATTTTGTTTACCATTGGTGACGTAGTGTTAAATGACAACCCAGCAGAATTTTTCTCAAACAAACTTTACCATAGTTCACATTTTTTCTGACTTTCCATAATGTATGAATCATGAGTGTGAATGCAGACACCAACCAAACAGAAAAAGAAACTCATGAAACTAAGAACGATAACGACCAATTTGGCTTAAGAATCATTAATTCTGTGTCAATACTAATGAATTTTACGTTGACGTCAAATAAAATTTATCAAAGTTAATTGTTTTCAGTTGATCATGCATAAGATGCTCTGTAAGAGATTCAAATTAGAATTAAAAAAAATGTTGTTCTTCTTGATAAAAGCCATGTTAGATAAAATTAAAATCATTCCGCATTTATGATATGCAAAACTGAAATTCTGTGACGTGTCATTATTTTGACACATGCTGTTAATTTTTTAGACCTGTTGTATGAATAATATTTGAAATGAACTATCGGAATATTTGGTTAGTTACATCGTATTGCTAGCGATGATGCTGGAAAGTTCAGTGTTTTCCAACGTTAAACTATCTAAACTTTATATGTGATTGTTTAAAAAACCCATCAATATCAACAAATGTCATTCATATCAAAAATGCCTTTCAACAAAGACATAGAATGAACACAAAAATAGTGATCATGCAAATTTGTAGCAATAAATTGTTCCATAGTTATCTAACGCGAAATTTGCGAAATATAAAGATCTAGATAATAAACTTCATACTCTCTTTCGTTGTAAATATTCTGGTCCTATATTCACTATAATATTAATGGTTGTACGTTGACATACCATCTAAATTGACCAAAGATCTTTAAGATCTTGTTGATTGTTTTTGGTTGACGATTCAGAATATGTTTAACAGAAGATTTGTAAATTGTATAATACGTAACAAACTAATGATAAAAGTAAAATGTTGTACACGTCTTGATAAAAGCCATGTTAGAAAAAGCAAAAATATTGCACATGATTATTACAATATTGCAAAATCAACAGACGTATCAATATAAAACATATGAAGCGCGATTTCCAACTCGAAAATGATATTCAGGTTTTTTATGACAAATATATAAAAATTCTAGACATAAGAACAAACAATGACACTATGATAGGTGAACTTATATTCAACATACCTAAACAAATTAAAAAAGATTAAAGAAGACGCAACCATCTACATGATGTCTTGGCTTTTTCTTGATAATAAAGAAATTGGAATGTTCAATAAATGCTTGATTTTAATCACCGGCTGTTTCTATCTTAAAATATTGAATTCTGTTCATAACAGCGAGACCATAAAAAATAAAAATTTTATATGTGCACTAAAATGTTAGGTACCATGTAAAAACTAAGTACGCGCCAAAGAAACGACCAATCAGAACACAACACGTTTCTTTGACTTATAACATATTTTAAGATTAACTCAAACTGTCAATGATTCATGTAAATCCTTACAATCTTACAAATGCAAGAATATTTGCCAATATATTTTTAACTTTATTTGATAACAAGTTCAGATGAATGTGATTTTTGATAGTCGTGTTAGGAGAGAACTCTCTCTTTGATTGAAGTGTGAAATGTAAACGACATATTTATCTTTAGTCAAAATGTGTGACCAAATGTACATCTTTTTATAAAGTTTTTGTTTTGCTAGCGTTAGTTCTTTGCTTTATTTTAGACATGAACATTTTTCTTTAAATTACAAACGAACGTCAAGCTGCATCATATTAAGCATTATTGCAATGCCTTTCAACTAAGATTTCTTTGGTTACTTTAAGTGCTCATAAAATATGCTAAAAATCTTAAGCAACAATCAATCCATAGTTATCTAAAGAAAAACTATATTGATAATAGTTGCACTAAACACTAATGTTGTAAATGTTTTGCTTAAATTGAACACTAATCAATCATAGTAGGGTTTTACATTGATTTACATATCCAAATTCACCAAAGATGTTTAAAGTCTGTTATGTTTTTGTTAATGGTGTGAAATATGTTTAACTTGAGATTTAGATAAACTAAAATAAAAAAATAAAAACGTGTTTTTTACTTCTTCAAAAGACCATAACCAAAAAAACTACAGCACATAATAAACATGCATAACTGAAATTCTCTGACGTGTCTTTATTTTGACTTAACACGTTAATTTTGTAACTTTGTTGTATTAATATAATTTGAAATAAATGATTGGAGTAAATTGGTATTGATGTGAGAAAAGTCGTATTTTCCACGTGTAATGTATCCAAAATTTATCTGTGTTTGAAAATCCCACCAAAATGAAGAAATTTTATCCATATAAAACATACATGGCACTAATTTATAAGTTATATTTAACTACAATATTCGTAACATCAAAATAAAAAAAATAATACATGGACACAAAACATTAAATCAGAAGGTTAAACTACACCATTACATAAAGGGAGTAAACTCTAAAATCAGCATACCTTCACAATTTCAGACAGATTGAAAGCGACGCAACCAACTACATGATTTGTTTTCTTTTGCTTGATAATAAAGAAATCGGAATGTTAAATAAATGCTTCATTTTAATCACCTGCTGTTTTTATTGTAAAATATTGAATTCTGTTCATACCCAATTAAATATGAAATGCAAATTTTTTATTTTAGCTATGACTAAAGTAAACACAAAGAAGTTTTGACTTGGAAGCTTTATGCCAATAAACCTTTCACAGTTTACTATTATTTATTTCAATTATTGAACATCCTGACTTACATGCAAACTAACTGAAATAATCATAAAGGAAGACAGGGCAGCCTGCCTTTTACAAGTAAGATTGTTGAAAAATAAAAGACTAATAATTCAAGAAGTTAAGAAAATCGATAAACAGAGCTTCTCTTAAATTGTCAGCGTTCCAACTTTGAAACATGGTCAATAAAGTTTTGTCATTTTGTAAACTTTTGATCCGGATAAACAAATAAGTTGATCAGGGGCTTGAGAAGCAAGTCAAAGTTGAAGGGCTCAAGATTTTAGGGGAATTCTTTATTAAAAAAGGGAATTTCAGTGTAGTTAATCACGAAGTCTCTAATTTTGAATAATTTTGTCACATCTCAGTAATCAGAGATACTTCAAAGTTGATAGCGTTTGGACTTTACAGTTCCTCATGCAAAGTTTTGTCATTTTGTGAACTTTTTACGCAAACAAATATTTTAAATAGTCTATCTTACAACAAGTTTAAAAATTATAGACCAGATAAAAATCACGTGTACTATCACGTGAAAAAGTGAGCTTTTCACTCGAAGTAGGCGCAATTTCTAAAGACATATCTAGCAAACGTTTTTATGTCATCATCCGTGTTATGAATAAGACAAATAGATAGATGATTATATGAATGAGGAAAAATGCTTCTCGATAAAATCCATGTTACATAAAATTTAAAATATTGCACATAATGATATGCATAAGTGCACTTCTGTGACGTGTCATTATTTTGACACATCCTGTTGATTTTTCAGACCTGTTGTATGAATAATATTTGAAATGAACCATCGGAATATTTGATTAACTACATCGTATTGCTAGCGATGATGCTGGAAAGTTCAGTGTTTTCCAACGTTAAATTATCTAAAATTTATTTGCGATTGTCTAAAAAACACATCAATATCAACAAATGTTATTCATATCAAAAATGCCTTTCAACAAAGACACAGAAACAACACAAAAATAGTGATCATGCAAATCTATAGCAACTAATTATTCCATAGATATCTAACGCGAAATTTGCGAAATGTAAACATCTAGATAATAAACTTCATAGTTTCTTTCGATGTAAATGTTCTGGTCCTATATTGTATAAAATGTTGTACACGTCTTGATAAAAGCCAGGTTAGAAAAAGTAAAATTATTGCACATAATGACATGCATATCTAACATTTTTTGACGTGTCATTATTTTCACTCAACACCTTAATTTAATAACTTTGCTGTATTAATATAATTTGAAATAAATGATTGGAGTAAATTGGTATTGATGTGAGAAAAGTCGTATTTTCCACGTGTAATGTATCCAAAATTTATCTGTGTTTGAAAATCCCACCAAAATGATGGAAATTTATCCACATAAAACATACGTGGCACTAATTTATAAGTTATATTTAACTACAATGTTTGTGACATCAAAACAAAACAATTGATACATGGACACAAAACATTAAATCAGAAGGTTAAAATACACTATTACATAAAGGGAGTAAACGTTAAAAGCAACATACCTGCACAAATTCTGAAAGATTAAAAACGACGCACCCAACTACATGATGTGTTTGCTTCTGCTTGATAATAAAGAAATCGGAATGTTAAATAAATGCTTGATTTTAATCACCTGCTGTTTTTATTGTAAAATATTGAATTCTGGTCTTACCCAATTGAATATGAAATGCAAATTTCTTATTTTAGCTACGACTGAAGTAAACTGAAAGAAGCTTTATGCCAATAAATCTTTCACAGTTTACTATTATTTGTTTCAATTATTGAACATCCTGACTTACATGCAAACTAACTGAAATAATCATAAAGGAAGATGGGGCAGCAATATTTTACAAAAAAGAAAGTTCAAAAATTAAGCTCAAAGATTTAAAATTCAAGAAGTCAATAAAATCAATAAACCGAGCTTTTCTAAAATTGTCAGCGTTCCAACTTTGAAACGTTGTCAATGAAGTCTTGTCCTTTTGTAAAATTTTGATTCGGATAAACGAATAATCTGATCAGAGGCGTGAGAAGCAAGTAAAAGTTGGGGTCTCAAGATTTTAGGGGCAATCTTTATTTAAAAATTGAATTTAAGAGTAATTAATCTCGAATTCTCTAGATTTGATTAATTTTGTCACATCTCAGTAATCATAGATACTTCAAAGTTGATAGCGTTTGGACTTAACAGTTCATCATGCAAACTTTAGTCATTTTGTGAACTTTTGACGCAAACAAATATTTTAAATAGTCTATCTTATAACAAATTTAAAAATTATAGACCAGAAAAAATCACGTGTACTATCACGTGAAGGTGTGCGCTTTTCACTCCAAGTAGGCGCAATTTCTAAAGGCATACCTAGCAAAAAGTCTTTATGTCATCATTTGTGTTAGGAAAACGATAAATAGATGACTATATAAATGATGAAGAAATTCTTCTTGATAAAAGTCATGTTAGATAAAATTAAAATTATTGTAAGTTATTTTCCTTGTTTTCTCCTCCTGTTGACAAAACTTACTATTATTAAATCTTTTTTACTCTCTTCTTTACATCACAATACAAAATCTTCCATTTTCGACCAATAACGTTTCAATATTATCCACCCAAAATGATTTTATCTTTTAGACCATTTTATGGTTATCATGAGAATGAAGAAGAGTTTATTAAGATAGAGTTGTACAATCCAAGAATAATTCCCAAGTAAGATATATTTTTTATGTTGTTCTAACATAAAACGACAACAAAATTTTTCACTTTTTTCAGACTTGTTAATCTTCTTCAGAATGGAGCTATATTGAACAAGTCATTTCAACCACACGAAGCTCATGTTCCTTATATTCTACAGGTAATTATAGTTTTTTATTATTAATGAGGAAAAAACACATCTTTGATTGTTATAACCCAGACTAGAGTGGTTAGTTTGTAAACTATGCACCAGACAAGGGGCAAGGCCTGCAAAGTTTCTTGCTTATTTCTTTAGAAATTAATCTAATTCATTGTTTTTCAAAGTAATTGATCAAAGCAATATTTTTATTGTACATAGGAGTAAAAAATGGGCTGACATTTCTACCGACATCAGAGATTCAACATTTGCATGTATAGGTGCCCACTTTGCTATAATTATACATCAGATCTCAGGAGCCCAATAAAAACATTCCATTGTGGATTATAGCTGTAAATTTCATGTGCGAAACATTTTGTCAATGAAGTAAATGGTTTGAACACATTGTGGAAGTATAGCTGCATGTTTGTTGATGTTGATCATAAAGAATACTACAGTATTGAGAAGGACTGTTGGGGGTAGTCTTGATTGATGTTTTCACATCTAGATGAGATGATTACTGGTAACAATGTTAAAATGTCACTTAACACTAATACCACTGACCTTCTTTAGTCTTTTTCCACCTGGAGTGTCATTTTCTATAGAGTTTCACTAAGTTACATTATAAGAATTATATTGAAATATTGTTTATTTTAGTTTCTAATTGATTACAATCTTTATGGTATGAACTTACTTGAGTTACTTCATGTAAGAAAAGTTCATTTCAGAGGATTTTCATTAAAAACAATAAAGTTTCATTATTGTTTTTTTTAGCATTCTATAAAAATCTAACACCACAAATGATTATTTACCATCAAATTGAATTTTATAGATAAAAATCTTTCATATAATAATAAATCAATTCCACTTCATGGTTCATCTCCAAATTCATTTCTTAATTTTCCTTCATCTCAACACAGGAATGAAGACACCATTCCTAGGTTTATCTGATTCATATATTTTGTACTTAAAGATTAATTGAAACCCAAAGGATTTGTGTAAATCCTTAATCCTAAATTTGACACATGTGCGTATGATTTATCCCAAGATTTAGAGTCAATGCTCAATCCAGATTACAGAATTTGCATTTAAAAAATTAGTTTAACTTTGAAATGATTCTTTGTGATGACTATCTTTACAGTTGATATTCATCATTTTAATATTTGTTATTTGTCATTATTTAGAAATTTATGCCTGGATCCTACTGTGAAAAAAGTCAGTCGTTGTGAATTTGGAGTTGATGTAATTGCTGACGACATTTTGAATCAAATAAATGTTGAAAGTAAAATTTATTATCTTTATGTCTTCATTTTACTGTTTATACATCTTTAATGAGTTTATTATGTTTATGAAGGTTGTATTGGTCATAATCCTGGTATAACTGCTATGTGGAAAGATGAAAGACAACGAAGACGAGATATTGGACTATCTTCACAAGTTGCTCTTCCTGTTTCACAAGGTAAGAACAAAAAATACATGTCACATCATTGTATAACTCACAATACATTTAATGTATTTTATATTGTCATGGTATTTATGATTTATGAGGCTCTGACTTATATATCCCAAAATGCAGCTGTTTTCTAGTGCATAAAATTTCATGTTTTCTTAAAGTTTAAACATTTTCATCGTTACATGAAGATGTGTACAACTGCTCCTTTATTAATTTTCTTTTACTTAACAGTTAACAATACGTAGGTAAAAATTCAACTTTTTTGTCATTAGATCGTATTCAGTGTGCGAAATAGTTGAGAAAAAACGATGTGTAATTTTTTTGACGAAAGTGTTTCTTTAGAGGCATAATGAAATCGATATTACGTTAATTATTATATAGCGCTAATTGCTAAATTAATATTTTTAAACCTGCTCAAATTCATATGATTTACGACAGTGTTTTTCGTTAAATCGCTGTCCAGTTACAAATGTATGAGAGAAATTTTTTGCGCATGTTATTCTCTCCTCTTTTTTGGGCAAAAGTGAAAAGAGAATAACCGAATATACTTTTGCTTTCTGATTATTAACAGTAACATCCTTGATATTTGCTTACGATAAAAAACATCATATTTGATCAAGGTTGCCAGTTTGGCTTAATAATTTGAGCCAAATTTCGTTTCTTTTTCTCACGTTAGGCTTATTTAAAATGAAAATTCCCTTTGGTTTATTTTTCAAATTTCGCGTATTTAAGTTTTTTTTGTCTTCTTTTAAGAATCAAAATCAAAATGTTTCCTGATTTTACTGAAAATACTCAAAATAGCTATGATGCCAAAAACAGTATGTAACGCTGTACAAAGCAACGCAAATGCAAAAATTGACATTAATAATGTATTACACCCCTATTGTCATAAGCATATAAGCACCATGTATGTTGACTCTTGACAGTTTTCCCGGTCTCGAAATGACAACGTCTTTGAATTTGATGACATTGTGTCAACATGGATTTTAATGTCGTGCAGCGCACTCGTTTATAAAGTAAAGATCAGTAAAGATGAAGCTTGAAAACTTTCCTCAATTTATGTGGTAGTAATCAATAAAGATGTTTTTTGCATTTCGTTTGAAAAAGTGATGTGCAATTGTTTTCATTTTAGCTAAAACGATGGGTAAATTGCACATTGCGCACCGTTAATTCGCACACTGGTATTAAAGCACCTGTATTGAATCTTGAGAAAGAATTTAAATAAAGAATCAAAGAAATTATTCATGAACGAAACAAAGTAATGTAAGATTTGATCTTGTGATGTTTAATAATTTAACTTTTTATTTTTATAAATTTCAAATAAACTTGCAGTCAAAGGGAGTTGGAGACAATGAAAAAATCTCTTTCACCAAAAGACTTTGAAGAATTTTCTCAAAGTATTTTGTCACAAGTCAAGCAACCGCAGTGTGAAGCAACAATAAACCAAGGTTTTCATGAAATTTATTTAACTTATTTTAACTTAGATTTATACAATAAAATATTTCTATTTTCTTCTATTTTAGATGTGGATGTGGATAGTCCAGTTGTTGATCAGTCAGTTATAGATGTACTACAAGCCAGCCAGGCCAGAAATTCATGTATTATTCACCAAAAATAATTCTTTCTCTCTCAAGGCTCAAATTTTTATTAATATAAGACATTTATTTAGCTGGAGAGTTGGATAAAGAATTGGTGGAGATTTTAATGAGTTTGGATAAGGATGACAATAAAACACTGCTTCACGAATGTTCTCATATTGCGGGCTCACAAAGTAAGTATGAACATTCCATTATATGAATATTGTATTGAGATCAAAACTACCATAATTAGATATGGATATCAATGGTGATTGTATACCGTTCCATTTGTGTTTAGTAAAACTTGTCTTTTATATGAAGTTTTTCAATCAATCTTTATTTTATTGTTTATTTAGAAGGTAGTGATGATGAACATGATGAAGATATTGATGAAGATAAAGAATCAATATTAATATCACAGCCATTTTGGAAAGATGACGAAGAGGAACATGATTCCCAAAGGTAAAAATATCCATTTTTGTTTATAAAATAAAGACAGAAAAATGCGTGCGTTGATTTGTCTATAGTTGAGTTAACATTAGCTAACTTGGCATGAACGAACCTATCTGAGCTCAATCAATTAAAATCAATCAAAGAGAATTTCCAAATCAATCATGAATACATGTTACTGGAAAAATTAAAACATTTGTTTTAAATTTGTCTGTTTTGTATTATCGCTGTTTTATAAAAGAAGTAAAAGATGTTTTTCATGTTTACACAGGCTTATGCAAACCTAGGAGACGTTTCTGAGAACTTTAGAGCATGTGCAAGCTTTTGACTCTGGTCATCACTGTACAAGTTCTCCCAAAGGTCTCCTTGCTTTTCATAATCCTGTGCAAACACTGTAAACATCTTAAATGAAAAACAATCAATCTTCTCTAAAGTTTTGAGTAGCTGTCTTCTTCACTTGCAGTTCGGAGGATGAAGAGGAAATGAACTGGAAACCCCCTTTACGCATGTCTCAGGTGGATGGTCCTGGTGATGACGAGGACTCCTGGGGACGTTTGTAGTCAATCAATTTTCACTCTGCGAGAGAATCTCGAAACACTAAACACGCGTGACTGCGTGTAATCTCGCGTGTCTGAGTTTAAGATTTGGCTTTAATTATTCGCTTCAGGTGGCGTTCCATGTTCAATGGTAACAACATACATCATCTTAATGCAATTTTATTTGTTTAATTCCCACGCAGGCAGAAAGTTCTCTCTCATCCTAAATGTACAGCAGCCGTTCGACAAACATTTAGTAAAGATGGAAGGTAAATTTTACATGTTACGTTTTATCTCACGGGAAGAATTTCTTTGTTTACCCATGTAAAGTTATTGTTTTTTGAACATTTTTCAAAGTCAAGCAAAGCATGTGAAAAGAACATAGATAACATATTCATAATGATAAAATGACATGTTTTTCTCATTAAAACTTTCACTTTGTGAAGATATTTTACTATTTGTTTTCCTGTGGCACATTTTTCATTTATCTACCAGGAGCTCATTTCCAACGCGAAATTGAAAGTGACTGTTTTCGTTCATTGCTCATTGAGAAAATGTTTTTTGCGAGATTTTAGACTTGATTTCACAGTATTTACACCTTGTCAATTGTCAAGTTTCTTAGATCAAAGTCCACTATGACTGGATGGTAAATAATTTGCACAGCGAATATTTAACTTTTGAACAAACTTTGCGAAATTACTCGGAGAAGTGAATTAGCCATGAAATATTTATTGATCTTGTTTACATATTTCTTTTCAGTGTTTTACTTTGTGTTTGCGATGATGGTACTATTTTGAGATGTGATCAATCTCCTTGAACATTAAAAACGGTTTGAATTTTTTTAATGTTCGTATATTAAATTGTGTCATGAATTTTTTTACCGCGCAGTCAAATGTTTTTCTGCGTATTGCTCGAGCGCATGCGCGATGATTCCTCTATTAAATTGTTACTAAGCATCCTATTTACTTCAAAATCGGTGCTAGTAGATGCAGTTGGTTATTAGGTTGTTGCCATGACCATGAACATGGGCGGTTGGTCAAGTTGACTGCGCATGCCCAAGCATACTGCGCATGCGCTGATGATTTACTTAAAATTTGTGACGGAGTGAGATTATTACTCGATAATCGTTAAAGGTGCTGTTACACGATGCGATTTTTTGCACTTTATCACAACTTGCTTAATCATTGGTGTCGTGTATCATCTTCAGGCAACATGCGATTTTTGAACTTTTTTCATGTTTTTAGTCGTAAGTTTCTTAAAAAAATCGCATCGTGTCACAGCTCCTTAATAGTACATCCAGTTGTTCGTTGCCATGACCATGAACTTGGAGAGTACGCATGTTCAGATTAATTCTATATTAAATTTGTGACAAAGCGAGCTCTGAATTTGGTTCTTGTAGATGCGCTGAGCAAATTTTCATTCACATATTTTTGGCCTACTTTTTGCCTTCTTAAGATTGTTTTGACAAATGCATATCAAACTCATCAACACTTTGTTATGGCACTCGTAATATCCGCGACAACGTTAAGAAGATTTTTATTATTTTCTATAACTTTCTATTACTTTCTATATTTTTATTGTGGTTTGAAAATTATTGTTCAGCAAAAGATTAATCCCATAGTTAACCATGATGTAACGTGATCAAGTGATTTTTCCCCCCATTAAGGCCCGTTCACACTATCCGATTAGTCGGATCACAAAAAATGGATCGTGTGAGCACATACAAAGCGAGCTTTCGACAGTCGGATCAGTCAGTCTGAAAATTCGCCGATGTTACGGATGTTCTGTTTGTTTAAATTAATGTTCCAATTGTTTCGCAGAGAGTACTTAAAAATTTCTTTTGTTTATGCGGGGCGAGAAATGTAATAACTGTCATTTAGATTTAAGATCTTAACTGTCGTTTAGACCTTAATTGCAAATTGCATCGATTTTTGAAGAATATTACCAAACCTTTACAATATACGAACAAGGGGGAGTTTCGTTCTGAGCCAATCATAGGTTAGTTTACGTTTTAAAAGTTAGCCAATCAGAACTCGCAAAACGCGAAAATGTAAACAAAAGGATTGAGAAATTTGCACTTTGTTTGAAGCCTTTGGTGAGCTACGTTTTTGAGTAAATAAATATAAAATGCAAAGATTCTTATAAAGCAACACTTTTTCTTCAAATTCCTCGTGGGCATTTTAAAATTACGATCTAGAACGGAATTTATCGGCTGTTTAATAGCTACCATTTTACACTCGCGAAGTAGCATTGATTATGTGCTTGGTTTACAAGGGGTTCACCAGTCAGAGCGTATGTGGAACTTTTATTCTGGCGCAATTAGATTGCTCCAACTTTCCATTGCTCTATGGATTTTGGCAGTCTTTACTTCAGGCTGGTTTTTAAAGTTACTGGTCGGTTAATGAGGTTTTCTAAAGGAAAGAATTTTTTTAACCGTTAAAATTTTCACTTGACGCTTTTCAATGTTTGTACTATGCAATTATTATAAAAACCACGTGTTTCATTTCATTAAAATTTTAAGTAGACAAGTATTGACATTTGCATTTCAACATGTGCAACTTGTACGCAACCTTAGGAAAACTAAGAACCAGCAGTCCCGAATATTTTAAATTCAAGTTATATTATTGTCAAATTTCCAGGTTTTGTCTGAGCAATCACAGTTTGTAGCATTTTTATTGGTGTTGAAAAACATTTGCACGAATGCTCGGGTTGGTATAAAGCGAAGTTCATTTTAATGACAATAAACATTTCATATGTCTCAAGACTTCACTTTTTACTCTGTTGCTGTTCGCAAAGTAACGATGTAAACAAAAACGCGCATATAAACCAAAAACACGTTATAAACAAAAACGCACGCAAAGTAACGATATAATAAAAAAAATAAAGCTTACTCCGAACAAAAAGTTCATTTTAACTCAATATTTGGGAAGGAAACAAGACAATTTTTTATTTGAATAGTTATACTTTGAATTTATTACAGGTTCATCGTCAAGACTATATTTACAAGAGAACCGACGCTCTACTGATATGAATGTTACATCATTCCAACGGAAGTGTGGAAGTGTGAATTGGGTGGTACTAACATACCACCCTATAACCCAGGAAATATTCTCTCAACACTACTCAATCCTCTCGCTTCTAATGAATTTACTCTTACCGATTCGTTCGTTGCCGTAAACTCTATCCACATTATTCCTAAAAATTTATTGAAGGCTATCAATTCGTTTCGTTTGACGTCGAATCTTTATTTACCAACGTGCCTTTGAACAGAGCAATAAAAATAATTTTGGAAAGAAATTTTTGAGAAAATCAAATTTTAACTAAACTTGAGAAAGAACTCTTAAAAAACTTATTATTGACTGTTGCATTAAAAGCGCTTTTTCTTTCGACAATGAAATTTTTAAACAAACCGATGGGGGTTTCAATATACTCCTCTATTGGCCCCATACTCGCTAACATAATTCTACAACACACTGAAACATACTGTGCAGTCGCTTTGGTCGCGGGACTAAAGCGAATTGATGCGCGCGTTAGTCGCTTGAACGTCAGAAACACACATGCAAAAACGAGCATGGCGACCACATTGCGACTATCAACATGGCGTCTAGTCATCAGGCTAAGTTACTAGCATTTGTTTGCATATTGTACGAGCTGGAAGAGGTTGAAAAACGGGAAAAAATAATAAAATGAAAAGATGATGGGCTCGTCAATAAACAGGCAAAGGAGAGTACAAGGAGATTTTCTGCCCTTGGTTCAAGAACTACGAACCGATGAGGAGCAGTTTAATCTGTATTTTTGCATGAGCCCTCAAATATTTGATGAGCTGCTGGCTTTGGTTGGTCCATCTCTTCGTAGGCAAGATAATCAAATGAGGCAAGCAGTAGGACATGCTGAAAGACTAGCAATCACATTAAGAAGATTGGCTACAGGTGATAGCCCAAGCAATCATCCAACACAACACAAAATAAGCTGCATTCGAACACTTTTCACCAGGATAAACTCTCATTGTAATACCGAAGAAGCCAAGAAAACAGAACGCAACTATATTCTCCACATTTATTAAAAACAATTACCCTAGAAACTTTATAAACGAAACTATAAACAAAATACAAAACAAAACACAAACCGACAAAAGCAACAAGAAACCAGACGAAACAGTAAAAATCGTCACATTACCATACATAAACGGAACATCTGAAATGACTGCCAGAATTCTTCGACCATTTAATATTAACGTCACTCCCAAACCTACACAAAAACTCAAACCATGTTTCGCCAAACATATAGACAAAACATTACACTCTAATAATAATATTAACACTAGTCATATTCACAATACACCAATACCCATGACAACGCATTCCACACCATCCAATCACATTAATCCACCCGCTAATTCAATTAGACGCTCTAAGCGTCTACATGTGAAAAAGAACAGTATATAACTTCCTATACCTTTCTGATGAAGGCTCGAAGCACCTAGTTGGAAGCTCAATAAAATCATTTTATATACAATCCGGAGAAACTTTTATTTTTATACAGAAAAATAAATGCATGCGCTGATTGGTCTATTGCTGTGTTTGCATTAGCCTGTAAAAACCAATTTGAGCTCAACCAACAAAATCAATCAATCAATCAATAAGAATTTGCAAATTAATGCTTTTTTCAAATGTTTTCCATTACTTTTATTTTTTAAAAGAAATAAAAGATGTTTTTTGTGTTTACACAGTCTTATGCAAACCTCGGAGACGTTTATACGAACTCTGGAGCAGCTGCGGGCCTGGACCTTTCGTCTGGGGCTTGCACTGATCTGCTCTTGATTTCTCTGAAAGGTCTCCTCCGTTTTCATCAGCCTGTGCAAACGCGGAATAAATCTTTCTTTTCTTAAATACATTACATTTAAAAAAAATTTTCATATACACCTTCTCATCTTCTACATAAATTTATAAAATTCTAAAACAAGGGGACATTTAGAAAAATATGTCGATATTGTAATTCCTAGACCATCTTTGAATATGTCGTAAACAAACATGAAAAAAGTTCAAAACTACCATTATCATCAACAGATTTTTAAAGCTTTCACAAAAACGTCCAGAAATATTTTACTTCGATTTTTATTTATGCATGCGAAGGACAGTTTTTGATTTCCTGCATTCTTATTGGCTGCAGCAGCGGGCGGCTTTTTACGATATTATGACCGTAGTCGACGAGTCATTTCTAGCAAAAGATTTGCTTAGAAAATCAAATTTTTTAAATTTATTTAAGTACGGTGTAAATAGTTTGAAGAGAAAGCAAAATGTATTTAGGTGATACTCATCATAGCAAAAGTGAATTTTACTATTCAGAGAGAGTACACTTAATAAAATAGGATTAATTTTCCTCTCAACCAGCCAAGTCGAGCAATTTAAAACGCGATTATTTTTGTTTATAAAAATAAGAAATATTTTCACTTAGTCTCAAAAGCATCTAGACGTTCACGGAAAATTACTTCAAACATTTGCTCGAAACATTTCTTTTTCTTCGCAAATTTAAACATTAAAAATGACTGTTGTAATATCAAACTACGCCTTTATTTGTTTATTCTGTAGAATAACAAAACAAATCAACACAGACAACTAATCAGAAAGATGTTTTGATATTCATCAGTAAATTGAAAACTATATCATCAAAATTTACAAGATATAAATCATAGAAATATGCAAAACTTCTGTTTTTCATTATTGAAGCAAATATTCCGAAAATTGACCTCCGTCCCAATGTATTCGGAATACGAAGAATAATCACTATCACAACTTGGTTTCATAAACAATTTTTATTATTACTTCTTAAAGTATCCCTTCTCGCTTCTCTCGCTTGTCTCATTCGTCTCATTCGTCTCGCATGTCTCACTTCTCACTTCCGTTCTCTGCTCTCTCTACTTCCGTTCCACTCATGTTTTCTATATTGTTCTTTATCGTCCCCAACGTACCCGAATGTACAATTAAACCCAACACAACTTTAACATAATTTGCAACACCCTCCCCTACATGTGACTACGAATGAGTCACATGTTATATCACTTTGTCTCGAAGTTTATTTCATTCCTGTTCCATTAGCTCCTGATTTATCGCCTCCGCAACCACAGCAGCTTGTCGTCTTGGTCTGAATTCTTCGGCGTTCACTCGCAACTTCTTTTGATGGTTGCTGACGTCGCATTGTAATTCTAAAGGATAGATCAGTTGGATTGGTCTCTCAAGAGATATTTTTCCACACTGAAGTTTGACTCCTCTCACAACTCCATCCCTTCCACGGATCAACATCGTTACCTTTCCGATCTTCCACATATTTCTGTTTTTCTCATCACCCTTAATTAAAACGATATCTCCCTCTTTCGGATGAGATTCGGTTGCTGATTTGTTAACTTGATTGCGTTGGCGTAGACTTGTTAAATATTCTCGCTGCCATCTGTTCCACAATTGGGTTTTGATTTTGTGCAAATACTTTGCTCGCTTCCGTAATTCACCGTCCTTAATGTGATGACTCTCCACCTCAGGGATGACATTCGTCTGTTGCAGTACGAAAGAAGATGGCGTCAGTACTGGGAGTTCAACATCATCCTCTACATAGCTCAATGGTCGATTGTTCATACAAATTTCTATGTCCAGAACAACTTCTGCCAGTTCATCGAATTTCAGAAGTCCTTTACCAACGACTTTGTAAAATGATGATTTGAATACACCGATCAATCGCTCAAATTGGCCTCCCCACCAGGGTGCGCGGGACAGATTGAATCTCAATTTAATGCTATGTTTACTGAGCTCGCTGTGAAACCTCTCGTCTTGCATTGCTCTCTTCAACCATGCTGCTGCAGCTTGGAACGTTTTTGCATTGTCCGAATAGATGAGCGAAGGACGACCTCGCTTTGCTATGAGCCGTTTTAGACTTTGCAGGAAAGAAGTTGTCTCAAGACTCTTCAACAATTCAAGATATACTCCTCGCGTCAAACTACAGGAAAAGAGCACTAGATAGGCTTTTCCTTCTTGATTTTTCTTGACTTTATACTTAATCGGACTGGCGAAATCGACACCAATGACTTTATACGGTGTGGTTCCTTCTGTTCGAGTCTTTGGTAAAGGAGCAGGTATTGGAGCTTGATACGGTTTGGTCGTGAATCTCTTGCATCTGTAGCATCTCTTCCTTTGCTTTTTGACTAATCGACGAAGCCGAGGAACCCAATACCTTTCTCGGACCTTTGCCATCGTAAGTATAACTCCCCCATGGAGTGTTTCCAAGTGTGCATCTTCCACTAACTTCACGGTGAATAGAGCGTCATCAGGCAAGTAAATAGGGAACTCTCCTTGTATCCGACCGTGACATCTTAAAATCTCGTCATCGTCGGGTTGTACATTTAACTATATCAGATCCGTTTGAGACTTTGGGTTTTCTGCAACTCCGGCTTGTACCATTCTTATCCATGACATGTGTTGCTCTTCCACTTCTTCAGATGTCAGTGGCCCGTGCTTTCTATTATCTCTGTTTTGTCGAGCATTATCAATAAATCGTTTCACCCACGCCCCAATACGAATCGCCTTCCGCAATGAATGTTTTTCAAGAATATCACTGAATATTTCCAAGTCTGACCGCTGGATCGCCGTGCTCAAAACTACTCTCGTCGCCTTTGCTTAACTTTGGGAGTCAGTCGACGGTTTGACTATAAGATCTGGTGGCCAAAGACTACGCTCTGATAGCCAGGCAGGACCTTTCATCCACATCTCGGTCAGTTTGCCACCTCTGCTTCCGAGGTCGGCCGGATTGTCGGTTGTTGGCACATGATGCCACACGATCTCATTAGAAGCTCGGATTTTTGCCACTCGATGCGACACGAATTGTTTATAATCACCCTCTCCTTTAATCCACCATAAAGCTACAGTACTATCTGACCAGCAGTGTTTTCTGTGTGGAATGTGTCTCAGCGCATTGCTAGCATTCGAGACCAAATTTGCGGCCATATGACTTGCAACAAGCTCTAACCTCGGGATAGTCAGTCCTCTTTTGGCAAGTCTTGATTTCGCTGCCAGTAATTCCTGAGTAACTCCAGATGGTTGTTTAGCGACTGTGTAGACGACTGCGCACAAACCTTCACCGCTGGCATCCCCAAATCCATGAATCTCTAAGCTACAGACGGGTTCTTGGAACGACAGAACCGCTCTTGGCACGGTCACTTCGCTTGGTAAGGTGTTTTCCCACTTCTCCCAACTCTGCTTCAATTTACCAATCAATTCTGCGTCCCAGGGTAATTTCAGGTCACACACCTCTCGATAGATTTGTTTGCCTTGCAAAAGCAGAGGTGATGCAATTCCTATTGGATCATAGATCTTCGCCAGTCGACTTAAAATGTTGCGCTTCGTTGGCGATTTCCCACAATGTCCTATTTGTACACTTAACGTATCTTTCTCTTTATTCCACGTTGTACCCAGGATCTTCATCTCAGTTGGCTGCACCCCAAATTGTTGTTTGGCCGCTGTTTGCTCTTCATGATTTTTGTTAACACTACCTTCATCCAACTCCTTTGCATTTGATGCCCACTTATGAAGGGTAAAGGTTGCGTCACCCAGAATGTCAATAGCTTCCAATTTCCTTTTTCGTGCTTCATCCACAGTGCATCCTCCTGAAATGATGTCATCAACGTACAGACACCTTCTCAGAGCCTCAACTGCGTCTGGAGCTTTGCTTTTCCAGTGATCCAAATGTGTTTCGAGAACTCCCCCAAGTAGGAATGGAGAAGAAACCAATCCAAACAATACTCTCGTGAACCGTAGTACTTCTACATCAGCCTGTGGATTTGGTCGCCAGTGAAATCTTAAAGAATCCCGTTCACTTTCGCGTACACGAATTTGGAGGAATGCCTTTTGAATATCCCCAGTGATTGCAACAGGAAAACTTCGCGCTCTTACCAGCACTTCCCACAGCTTGTTATTTATGAAGGTCCCGCGTACAGGCATTCGTTTAAAGAAGGACTTTCTGGTGAAGCTTTTGCTGATGCATCGTACACCACTCTCAGTTTAGTGGACTGCGCTGACTCGCGTACGACTTCTTTGTGAGGTATGTAGAATTTATTACCTTTTGCTACGGTAGTTGCTGGTTCAACTATGCCATTGTGCTTTTGGTCTTGGATTACTGCCTTGTAATCTTCAGTTAATTTCTTTCGCTGTAATCGTCGCTCTAAAGATTCCAACCTTCTGATGCTTCCTGTTTTGTTCGGTAGGAGAGGTGGATGATTTCTACACCATGGAAGACCGGTCTCGTACCAGCCCTCCGGTGATCGCGTTAATTGCTCTTTGAATTCGTTATACACCATTGATTGGTCGTGTTCAGCAGTGTCTGCTAGGCTCAGAACATCCAACCTGCAGAGATCTTCATAATCCTTCTGCGAAACTTGGGTAAGCAACATCCTTTTACTGTTTGGTTCCACACCAGGGCTCATAACAAAGCATCTGAGTTTTGTTTTTTCTGCAATTGGTTGCCCCTCAGTTCCCTCTAGAGGATTCGTGCGAGTTTTTATCTGTGCATATTCCCCGCTTCCCAAAACGATATGGACAGGTAATTGAGCTTTGTGATCATTATCAACAAATTTTGCATTCTTCAGGTGTTCAAACTCTCTTTGTAAGTTTTCATAGGTGGATTGTCTACTGTAAGTAACTCTTCTTCCTCCACCTTGATCAACTTCACCTTCATCGAATAGTCACTGTCTATTGCTTCAACTTCCCCTTCATAGATTTCCAGTCTTGTTGTTTTTGATATTAGAAGCATGTCAACTTTAGTAGAAAGTCCTTCTTTAAACGAATGCCTGTACGCGGGACCTAATGATGACTTGCTGGGGCAAGCGTTAGCATGATGCTGTCCTGCTGTGCAGTTGAAACAAAGTTTCTTTTTGGCTAAAATTGCTCTTCTCTCCTTGACAGTACTGATTACTTTACATTCCCCCGATTTATGATTTCCTTCACAGTAGACGCACATCCCCTTTTCTTTGGTATGAAAGACTTTTACTGACCTTCTAGATTTCCATCCAGGTGTGTCTGACTCTTTGTCACAGACTGGATTTCGCCTGGTCCACTGTCTGACTGCTTCAGTAAGCTTGGAAAAGTCCCAACTTTCCCATTCTGGATCATTTCTAACAAGTTCCCCACGTATGGCTGGGAGTTTGTCTAGAGTCATGGAAACATTTCCTTGGACATCTTTCAGTTTACCCAGCGTTTCCAAAGCTTGGACACTGTGATTTAACTTCTCACTAAATTCTGCAATCTTTCTCGAGTTTGCTCCGGAGATATGAGGCAAGTCCATGATCTCTTTTATGTAAGCTTTTAAAATTTCCGAATTCTTCCCATACTGATCTTTTAAAATTGACTTCGCTCTATTGTATCCTTCGGTGGTAAAGGGTAATGATTCTACTCGTCGCTTAACTTTGGACCCAAGGAAACCACACAGATATGTGAATTTGTTGATGGCAGCTTTATTTGACTTGTCCACCGTCTCCGTAAATTGCCCCAAAAATCCACTCCACGTAATATTTATTTTTGGTAATCTCACCGACATACCTTCATCACTTAATTTTGAGTCTCCGGACTTTGAATTTTGAATTTTTGCATTTACTTGAGCCTTTGTTTCTTGAAGCTTTACTTCAAATTTAAGTTGCTAGCTTGTTTATTTCGTCTTCGGCTTCGCTTATTTTTGTTTCGATTTCCGCATTCCAATCGCTGATTTCTTCAAGGTCGTCTTCTCTTTCGATTTTCGCTGCTTCTACAGCTCTTTTAAAATTGCCAGCTTCGTTTATAGTTGTTTTGAGTGCGTTCAGTTGTCGTTCGATAGTTTCTCGCTTTCCCGAATCTAATATTTTAGCTGTTCTTTGAGCCGATAACTTAAGTTGAGTTAATTTTATGTTGAGTTTTGCTTCGTCGTTTGCCATGTTTGTATGGGACGCGTAATATCTTGTACGAAATTTTCACAGTTTATCACAATAAAAATCCTTTGTCGGTAGGTGCCACGTATTCCGAAAATTGACCTCCGTCCCAATGTCTTCGGAACATGAAGAATAATCACAATCACAACTTTGGTTTCATAAACAATTTTTATTATTACTCCTCAAAGTATCTCGCTTCTCTCGCTTCTCTCGCTTGTCTCACTTGTCTCACTTCCGTTCCACTCATGTTTTCTATATTGTTCCTTATCGTCCCCGACGTACTCGAATGTACAATTGAAACCCAGGTTGGCTCAGCAAACTGAGTCATGAATAAATATTTATTTTTGTAATTTAGGACCTTGAGCAAGTTGCCTTAACTTTGTTAAAAACTGAAATGAAATTCATAAAGGTCTGATGCTTATAAATTCAAATATTTAGAGTAATCTCTGCTTTGTTTATCGTAAAATCATTCCCAAAATTCCCAACGTGAAAAAATCATATTAGTGAGTTGCTTCTTTTTTAAGGAACAAATACTATTTATGCCACTTTAGCAGTCTAAGCTTGTTATTAAAATTACATAAAAAAGGCAGTTACAGTATTTTTCACAATGTACTTTCTTTTTAAAGCATTTTATTTTGTATATGTTTGTAAATATTGAGCATTTTCATTTAGATATGTTTACGCAGGACTTTGTTCTTAGGTCTGGAGAGAGTAAATATCGAACAACAACCTCGTTTTTGCTCTAAAAATTGCAAAAATACTGTTTTTCTCCAGATTGTGACTTTGATACCTAAATTAGCGTATTTATGGAAAGCTGTGTATGGTTTGCTTTCATTCAAATACAAAAAGTTTCTGGTACCAGCTACATATGAAAGTTATTTGACCTAGAAAATGTTAAAAATCACTGTGTGCTTTTTAACATGTGAAAAAACATCTTAAAATCTGTCTTTGTGCAAATAGACAAAGTAAATGTAAGAATTCATTGTGTGTAAAAGATATCGAGCTCAAATCAGCTTGATAAAGGCGCTATTTGATCTATAGATTAATTGTACATTTCATCATTTTATTTGGGCAAAAAAGTTGTTCCAATATCTTAGGAAGAAAAGTATGTTCAGAATCTTTTTTAACTCTAATTGTCGGAAATTATGTAAATAAATTATGATTGTTTTTTGAGACTAGGAACTTATCGTTAAAGGGGTTATATCACGAATTTTAGCCCCCCTTTTATATTAGCTAAATTGAAAGACCTTATTTCAGTGATTTTAAATCTGCAATTATAATTGAAATTGGATTGGTGAAAGTGATTTTATGGACGTTCAAAGTCACGATTTTCAGCATTTTTTTTGCGAACTTTTTGATCGGTATGCTAATGAGTTGTGACGTAGAAAGTTGAACACATATATCAACATGGCGTATTCTACTAGTAATCTTAATAAGAAACGCGGAGGAAAACGCTGTGTTGCTGGCGGACCTAATCAAATTAGTTGCGCCAATGATTCAAAAACAGAAGGAATGTCGATGCATCTGTTTCCTAAAAAAGAAACAGAGCCGCAAAGACATAGAAAATGGGTAAATTTTGTGCGTAAACATAGACCGGGTTTTGAGGCTTCCTCTACCTCGTGTCTGTGTTCTGCGCATTTTAAAGATTCTTGTTTTGACCTTAATTTGAGCGTGCAAGTCAAGCTCAAAAGAAGGTTGAAGAAAGATGCTATCCCAACCATTGACGTGGCTGGGATTCCTGAACCATTACAGGACGAAATAACCGATCGAAAGTACAGACAAGTAAGTTTACGCTTGTTTATGTTAATTTTTCTTTTGTCATATGTAGTGCGGGAAGTGTCTGTGAAGCCATCTTATGGTATGCTAATTTTAAGAATGTTTTGAAGAATATGAGAATTGAAGCATCAGTAACAAATTATTTTTCATATCAATTTCTAGAATATGTTGAACAAGTAAAGAATGTTCTTTTCATGTCTAATAAACAAGAACTTTCAACTATAATGGAAAGATATAGAGGAAAAGCACCCGAACCTTTGTGCAGCCAGTTTCCCAACAAACGATCCAAGGCTGAGGCAGTAAAAAAATATGTTGCGAGGAACAAGCATGTCAGTCATGCACTTTATCCATGCTGTAAGTATGGGATAATGGTATTGTTTACAATTATTTTAGGATGTAATGATCTGCATTTTTTCCTTAGTGGAACAGTAAAGACAGCAGTTACAAGACCTAACAGATGATGCAGATCAAATATTAAATAGCTCTGGGAATAAAAGTACTCGCAAATGTACTAAATGCAAAGCTCCAATGAAAGGACATCCTCGAGGTCAATGCTTCACTGAAAAAGAATAAATTGAAGTTGGTAGATGATAGGGCAGTGGTCAGACATTGCTTGGAGCCTGTCTGGAATGGAGAAGTATGGCACCTCCTTCCCACCACTAGCCTGAGGGTTCACCTTAGGCAAGTGATAGTACCCTCTAGCCTCCCTATCTGGGCACTGATATACACACCTTTCCTGATGATTACAGTATTAATATAACATTGAATGGTATGTATACTTGTCAGATTGAAGATGACTATCTCACTCGATTGTGCAACTAATTAATTTTCATGAATAATTTTTTTTATTGTAGTTTAATGCTCAACATGCCCTTTGTGGATGCAGTGCACTCAAGTGTGAAGACCTTATAAGATAAGTTCATGTGGCTTGCTATTTTCCATTTTTACATTTATGCTATGATTTAATTCCATATAATTTTTATTTTTTTTCCCAGACTGACATTGAAGAAAAGATTTTCTTTACCGTATAGTGCATCCATGTATCTCGTATTTGGTTTTCATCTAGGCATATTTCCTGACCATTCTAAACTCAGCAAAGAAGGCCAACAGTCTCTACAGTGCACAAGTTAAAAGACATTTCCATCATCGCCCCTCTGATGGTATGTAACCTTTTGTGTTACCACTTGGATATGCTTTCCGAATAAAGTGGTAAACACAAGCAGGTAAAGGCCGAGTATTCTCCCATCCCATAGACCCACAAAACCATCGCATCAACCATCTGTATGCCACAGCTCTCAAGTACCTGAAGTAAATAAAAAGGTTGGACTAATTATTGTTGATGAAACAATGTTGATGATAACATTCTTTCTCATACAATTTACAATCTTACATATTTAATGATTGTGATGCTTGGCGGCGATAAGCACGTCCATTCCTATCTCTCAATAGTGGCCCGACGTTTTCAAGGACAGCCTCATGAACTAAAGGCCCAAATTTGGCATGCTGTGTTATGCATGATATTTTCTCAATGCTGCCATCGAATGTCATTTTCTGCAAAGCTGGTCCTATTTCCTTACAGCATCTGTACTCTAATGCGCCTTCTAACAAATCGGTATGACAGCATTGACAATTACACCTGAAACGTGGGAGCATTGTGGTTTATAAAGTAACTTTATGTATATTACAAACAGGAGAAAACAACAACTTACCATTCACCGAGTGGAATTACGCCATCACTTCGTTGTTCTAAGGTCGCAGGAGAATTCCATCGGGATCATCTGGAGTATGCACTTCATCACCATCTCCTGCGAGCGGTTCATCGTCATATGCGAAGTCGTTTAAATGCTCGACATAACCCACGGATTCCGAGCTCGAATCAGATACGCATTCAGACATCGAATTCGAATTATCTGAGCACTGATTTGAAGCCATACTTTCCGGACAACTTGTTTTTTAATATTTTATTGAAAATACTGTCATTATTTATTTTTAACACAAGAAAAACGACAACAAAATCACCTCCTATAATATAATATTATATTGACGGAAACAGACGTGTTCAGCTATCTACGTCACAAGTATCAATATGGCGTCGTAAAAAATTCGCAAAAAGTACCCGACTTTGGAGGCAAAATTAAGGAACTTATATTTATCTGTTTAAGTCCAGCGACATGTCATAGTTCTTCAAATAATCCAAATTTTCAATTAAGCTAATAAAAAAGGGGGGCTAAAATTCGTGATATAACCCCTTTAAAGCGGAATAAGGAATTTATGATTATTGAGTATTTTATAAGGGTCAAAATAAGACGGCATTGTCTTTTGTTTATGCCTGTGAACAAGTAAGGAGCATGAATTGGAATTGATGTATAACTTTGACAAAAAAATCAAATTGATGACATTTGAGAGTTGTGTTTGACTGCGCGCTAGCTTTAGATAGTATACAGTCCCATAGAGAACCGGCGGACGCATAACTGCTTTGTACTAACGTGCAAAGGAGAAATTAGCTACACCTAGAACTAAGGTACCTATACGTACATCGCTGCTTTTTATCACAGAAAACATATTTCGCAATTGTCAGTACAAATTTTAAATAACTCAGTCTGCAGTTTATTCAGTTGAAAAAATAGTAAATTGGATATGTGTCCAACTTTACGGAATTAAAACTTTGAAATAAATTGTAGAATCCCAAGATAAAGAATAATGAAAAATACATCAATTTATAAAAAAGATATTTCGTGTACTTTTAAGTTGTCATGTCTTTTATGAAAAGAATTTTTGAAAAGGAAAAAGCCACACATCGACAATAAATAATCACGTTTTCGGTCCATGCCTCGCGAGACCCCGAGATAATTGAGAACTAGACGTTAATTAAGGAAAATAGATAATCGTTGTTTTCCATAAAGCCCATGGATGGTTTGCTCGTGATACATGAGAAACAGTAAGTATAAAACGTTTAAGGTCTTCTTAACTTATAAGTGCCAAAAAAACGGCATGCGCACAGTGTCAAAAGAAGTTAATTGAAACGTTGCTAGATTTATTTAATAAGAAGAACTTTTGTTACAAAAAGATAGAACTCAAAAGCAAAAAACCCCCGTTTTCGGTCCATGCTTCCCGATACCTTCTTAAGCGTAAGGCACTAGAACGCTGCATGTTAACGTTTCGGTAGGAGATTTCGGCCCCTTCCACGCTATCCTACTTGGGGATGTCAATAGCAAGCTTCCGCCCATCAGACCCCGAGATCACCTGCGATAGGCTTTGCTCGGGGTACGCAGGGAGAGTGCGGTCGCGACCCGAAACGTCTGGACCCCTAAGCCACTGCATACATATCGCACCCAGCTTCCACTGCTAGTTGACATATATTAAACCTATATTTAGCTTTATATTTATATACATAAATTCAAAGCCTTACGAGAGTTGTGGTATTATTGAAGTCACTACTGCGCATGCCCAGACGATTTCTTCAATAATTTGCGACTAAGTGAGCTAAATGCCACAACTTTAGTGCAAGTACATATGGTTAGTCGTTGCCATGACTATAAACAGTTAGTGGAGTGGACTGCGCATGCGCTAAAGCACTGCGGATGATTTCTTTATTAATTTGTTACTAAGCATGTTATTTACGTCAAAATCGGTGCTAGTTGATGGAGTGCTGATGCAGTTGGTCGTTGCCATGACCATCAACTTGGGCAGCTGGTCAAGTTGACTGCGCATGCGCAAATGATTCATCTGAAAATTTGTGACTGAGCGAGCTAATCCTCGATAGTTGGTACTGGTACATACAGTTAGTCGTTGCTATGAACATGAACATGAAGAGTTGGTAGAGTTGACTTGATATACGCGCAGAAGAGTCGCTAGTGTCGGGGCATTTTTTTCTCCTCTCGTATGTTGTGCTGCGCATATCGGCAGCAATTTTTCCAGCAAGATATTTAGGGCTCTTCACTTGTTCGCAACTACTGAAATGGTACGACGTCATTTGATATACTGAAATATTTTTGATTTTATTGTGAAGAAATGACGTCGTGTAATTGCAGTGGTTGGAAACAAGTGAAAAACCCTAATTATTTCTGGAATGATGGGGGACCTGAGAACGTGGTGTACACTTCTAAAGAGTGGCTCTTCTGTTTAATTTTTATCATGTTGAAAGACTCAACATACTATATGCAAATTTAAGTAAATATTCTTGGATTCCAACCAACCTCCAGGGAATTATCAAATAATGTGGCTCGCCAACGCAGGCAGCTGGCAACAATAGCATAAAATATTCATTCGCATTGATCCAAACATAAGCACCAAGAATATTTCATAACCAAATTCTAAATAGGCAGATTGCGCCAATAGCACTGTCGTGGTCTTGTCGAATTTTTCACTGGTGGCTTAAAAAATTGTCTTTGGTTAAAGCGGTTTACACGTTCTCAACCGATTTAGCCAATAATTTACTTAAACTAAAACCTCGTTTACATTGCACCGGATTGCTACCAAGGAAGGTTTAATTTTCTATGTGTTAAAAGTCGGTGACAACGTCCAATATCAGAGACACAATTAAATAGATTGAATATATCAACTTAATAAGAAATTAATCCAACCAGTTACCAACCAGTTTTTAGCATCATCAGATATCTAAGGCCGCGCTTGAGATAGCCGCTCCAGTTATTATAGAACTCAATGTCGGCAACAGGCAGTCAGGCACGTGCCGCTTTGCGTAATGGGATGTCAAGTGGCCAAATCGACCAATCGCCGCAAGTTCGCAACTAATTGGACAAAGAAATGCACTTAATGACACTTAATATTGATCTGATTTTATTCATTCATTGCTCTAACAAACGGTAACGGAGTTGTCACTTGACTAGTGACGCAAGAATATTCGTAAAAATTCAATTAATTATGCCACGATTGTGTTGTCAGGTATGTGCAACGTTTTTTTCAACGTCTGTTGCTGGAATGTTGCATCATTTGGTCGCTGTTCATGAACACGATGCCAGATTGCATATTATCTGCAAAGTGCTTGAATGTAATTTAACCTTCGCTAAGGTAAGCTTTTCATTCTTGATACGACACTGATTTGTTTGTTATTTGTTAAAAATATTTACTTATTCAGTGCGTTCACGGAGTTGTTGTTTAGGTTAACTCTTACAAAAGTCATCTTAGAAGAAAGCACGCCAATGTTGACTTAAACTCACGTGATCTATGTTGCGTTGAATCAGCGAGTAGCACTCACAACAATTTTTGTCCTCATGAGGATGGCCTTGAACTCCTAATTGATGAATTCAACAGGGAAAATGAACTTGATGACTATGTTCAAGCAATGGAACACAAAAAGGCCCAATTTCTTCTAAAAACAAAAGAAATCAATCTGCTCACACAAAAATGTGTGGATAACATTGTAGAAGATTCCACTGAACTTGTCCAAGGAACAGTCAAAGCAATTAAACACGGTTTGCAAAATTGCTTAGAGAAAGCTGGATTAAATTATAAAGATGTGCCAGGTCTTGATGAATTATTTGATGAAGGACATGCTATCTCAAATCCATTCAAACATATTTCCACAAAGTATAAACAGAATGCTTATTTTGAGGAGCATTTTGGCTTAGTTGTAACTTTTATTTCTATGTTTTTTGACTTTTTTTAGAATGTTAAGAGTTTTTGGATAAAGTTTTTTAAGATTTTTAACAGATTTTAGCCAGCTGCTCTTTAGTGCTTGTTATGCATAATCATTATTTTAACTGTAGCAACTCAGACGAATTAAACTTGGACACAGAGTTGTGAAAAGACTTTCAAGGACTCTGTACAAAGAGGTTATTAAAGATGATGAAATCATGTACATACCACTGCTTAAATCCTTGGAAAAAATGCTCAATGTAAAAGGAGTACTTGAACAGGTCAGATTGTTAATAGCATGGTTGTGTTTTTTTTTTGTTAGCAAGTTTATCAAACTATGACAACTACACCTTTGCAAGTACCCATATCAATAACAGGGTTGCAAAATAATAATACATGTTCTATGTATAACCATAAAAAGAACTCTATGTGTGTTTTACTGTGTTAGTTTCCATGAAAGCAAAAACAATGATGACATGCGTTTATTAGAGCACATTTCCAAAAATATATTCCAATTATTTCATAAAAATATGAAAATAGCCTGATTTTAATTTGAAATGTTTGATAGTAGGAAGGCACCCATCCTACCACCAGACATTTCCATTGCTGGTTAATAATAAATTTAATTTATTAATAAATTTAATATTTTCATTCTTCGATTTCAATTTCAGCTAAACCATGGTCATCTTCGGCAACATAAACATGATGATGTGATTGAGGATGTTTGCAAGGGCCAGTATTTCAAGACCCATCCTCTGTTTTCCAAGGACTCAGCTGCTTTACAAATCATGCTTTACTATAATGAGTTGGAAATTGCAAATGCCCTTGGTAGTAAAACTGGAAAGCTTAAGTTAGGTAATAGTTTAATGACATCATAGTGACTAAATCAGTCACTCAAATGTAAGAAAGTGTATGAGCAATGAAAGGCTATAAGAAGCTCTTATTACATCATATGCCATTATTTCTGTATGACAGGAGTTGTTTACTACACAACTGGAAATATTGATCCTCGATATCGATCCCAGTGTGATAACATTCACCTACTCCTTATGGCAACGGTTCCAATTATCAAAAAATATGGCATTGACATTCTCTTGGAGCCTTTCATGAATGACCTTGAATACCTTGAACAAGTAAGTGATCCTATTTATTGTTTTTTAGCTTATTACGTGTTATTGATAATTGTGCAGAGTAAGTAGTTTGATAAAAATTGCTTAAAATTAACTGTCACACTTCTTTTTTGAGGATGGTGGTCACCAGTTCATTGTTAAAGGTGAACCTAAATCATTTTCTGGGACTATTGTGTTCGTTTCTGGAGACAATCTTGGATCACAACTCATGAGTGGATTTAAAGAAGGTCCAGGTGCACATTTGAAATGCAGGCAATGCATGGGGACCACTGAACAAACATAGCAGAAGGTATGTATGTTTATGATAATACATTATTAACCTGTTTCAACATAGATCAAATGTTTTATTATGGTTTTTAGCAGAACAGGAACATACACTTTAAAGTAAGTCTTTCAGTTTCTAGAAAAACATTTTACACTTTGAACTCGTGCTGGTCATGAACGCCAATGTGAACTGATTCAAGAAAACCCAGAACTGAGTAAAGCATATGGGCTTTGCAGGAGATCATTTCTTCGCAACTCTTGGTATTTTTATATGAGCGACCAACTTGCTTTCTATCATAGTCTGCACTTTGATTAAAAGCCTGATGTAAGGAACCCTGTAGAAGCGGTTTTTCTTGTAGACGGTAGCTCTTGGTTAGCTGGAGAAGCGGTTTTCTTGTAGACGGTAGCTCTTGGTTAGCTGGAGAAGCGGTTTTTCTTGTAGACGGTAGCTCTTGGTTAGCTGGAGAAGCGGTTTTTCTTGTAGACGATAGCTCTTGGTTAGCTGGAGAAGCGGTTTTCTTGTAGACGGTAGCTCTTGGTTTGCTGGAGAAGCGGTCTTTCTTGTAGACGGTAGCTCTTGGTTAGCTGGAGAAGCGGTTTTTCTTGTAGACGGTAGCTCTTTGTTACTGGAGAAGCGGTTTTTCTTGTAGACGGTAGCTCTTGGTTTGCTGGAGAAGCGGTTTTCTTGTAGACGGTAGCTCTTGGTTAGCTGGAGAAGCGGTTTTCTTGTAGACGGTAGCTCTTCGTTAGCTGGAGAAGCGGTTGTCTTGTAGACGGTAGCTCTTCGTTAGCTGGAGAAGCGGTTTTTCTTGTAGACGGTAGCTCTTGGTTAGCTGGAGAAGCGGTTTTCTTGTAGACGGTAGCTCTTTGTTAGCTGGAGAAGCGGTTGTCTTGTGGACGGTAGCTCTTGGTTGGCTGGAGAAGCGGTTTTCTTGTAGACGGTAGCTCTTGGTTAGCTGGAGAAGCGGTTTTCTTGTAGACGGTAGCTCTTGGTTAGCTGGAGAAGCGGTTTTCTTGTAGACGGTAGCTCTTGGTTAGCTGGAGAAGCGGTTTTTCTTGTAGACGGTAGCTCTTTGTTAGCTGGAGAAGCGGTTGTCTTGTGGACGGTAGCTCTTGGTTGGCTGGAGAAGCGGTTTTCTTGTAGACGGTAGCTCTTGGTTAGCTGGAGAAGCGGTTTTCTTGTTGACGTTAGCTCTTTGTTAGCTGGAGAAGCGGTTTTTCTTGTAGACGGTAGCTCTTGGTTTGCTGAAGAAGCGGTTTTCTTGTAGACGGTAGCTCTTTGTTAGCTGGAGAAGCGGTTGTCTTGTGGACGGTAGCTCTTGGTTGGCTGGAGAAGCGGTTTTCTTGTAGACGGTTGCTCTTGGTTAGCTGGAGAAGCGGCTTTTCTTGTAGACGGTAGCTCTTTGTTAGCTGGAGAAGCGGTTGTCTTGTAGACGGTAGCTCTTGGTTTGCTGGAGAAGCGGTTTTCTTGTAGACGGTAGCTCTTGGTTAGCTGGAGAAGCGTTTTTCTAGTAGACGGTAGCTCTTGGTTAGCTAGAGAAGCGGTTTTTCTTGTAGACGGTAGCTCTTGGTTAGCTGGAGAAGCGGTTTTCTTGTAAACGGTAGCTCTTGGTTAGCTAGAAGCGGTTTTTCTTGTAGACGGTAGCTCTTGGTTAGCTGTAGAAGCGGTTTTCTTGTAGACGGTAGCTCTTGGTTAGCTGGAGAAGCGGTTTTCTTGTAGACGGTAGCTCTTGGTTAGCTGGAGAAGCGGTTTTTCTTGTAGACGGTAGCTCTTGGTTAGCTGGAGAAGCGGTTTTTCTTGTAGACGATAGCTCTTGGTTAGCTGGAGAAGCGTTTTTCTTGTAGACGGTAGCTCTTGGTTTGCTGGAGAAGCGGTCTTTCTTGTAGACGGTAGCTCTTGGTTAGCTGGAGAAGCGGTTTTCTTGTAGACGGTAGCTCTTTGTTACTGGAGAAGCGGTTTTCTTGTAGACGGTAGCTCTTGGTTTGCTGGAGAAGCGGTTTTCTTGTAGACGGTAGCTCTTGGTTAGCTGGAGAAGCGGTTTTCTTGTAGACGGTAGCTCTTCGTTAGCTGGAGAAGCGGTTGTCTTGTAGACGGTAGCTCTTCGTTAGCTGGAGAAGCGGTTTTCTTGTAGACGGTAGCTCTTGGTTAGCTGGAGAAGCGGTTTTCTTGTAGACGGTAGCTCTTTGTTAGCTGGAGAAGCGGTTGTCTTGTGGACGGTAGCTCTTGGTTGGCTGGAGAAGCGGTTTTTCTTGTAGACGGTAGCTCTTGGTTAGCTGGAGAAGCGGTTTTCTTGTAGACGGTAGCTCTTTGTTAGCTGGAGAAGCGGTTGTCTTGTAGACGGTAGCTCTTGGTTAGCTGGAGAAGCGGTTTTTCTTGTAGACGGCAGCTCTTGGTTTGCTGGAGAAGCGGTCTTTCTTGTAGACGGTAGCTCTTGGTTAGCTGGAGAAGCGGTTTTTCTTGTAGACGGTAGCTCTTGGTTAGCTGGAGAAGCGGTTTTCTCGTAGACGGCAGCTCTTGGTTTGCTGGAGAAGCGGTCTTTCTTGTAGACGGTAGCTCTTGGTTAGCTGGAGAAGCGGTTTTCTTGTAGACGGTAGCTCTTGGTTAGCTGGAGAAGCGGTTTTCTTGTAGACGGTAGCTCTTGGTTAGCTGGAGAAGCTTTTTTTCTTGTAGACGGTAGCTCTTGGTTAGCTGGAGAAGCGGTTTTCTTGTAGACGGTAGCTCTTGGTTAGCTGGAGAAGCGGTTTTCTTGTAGACGGTAGCTCTTGGTTAGCTGGAGAAGCGGTTTTCTTGTAGACGGTAGCTCTTTGTTAGCTGGAGAAGCGGTTGTCTTGTGGACGGTAGCTCTTGGTTGGCTGGAGAAGCGGTTTTTCTTGTAGACGGTAGCTCTTGGTTAGCTGGAGAAGCGGTTTTCTTGTAGACGGTAGCTCTTTGTTAGCTGGAGAAGCGGTTTTCTTGTAGACGGTAGCTCTTGGTTTGCTGGAGAAGCGGTTTTCTTGTAGACGGTAGCTCTTGGTTAGCTGGAGAAGGTTTTTCTTGTAGACGGTAGCTCTTTGTTAGATGGAGAAGCGGTTGTCTTGTAGACGGTAGCTCTTGGTTAGCTGGAGAAGCGGTTTTCTTGTAAACAGTAGCTCTTGGTTAGCTGGAGAAGCGGTTTTTCTTGTAGACGGTAGCTCTTGGTTTGCTGGAGAAGCGGTTTTCTTGTAGACGGTAGCTCTTTGTTAGCTGGAGAAGCGGTTGTCTTGTGGACGGTAGCTCTTGGTTGTCTGGAGAAGCGGTTTTCTTGTAGATGGTAGCTCTTTGTTAGCTGGAGAAGCGGTTGTCTTGTAGACGGTAGCTCTTGGTTTGCTGGAGAAGCGGTTTTTCTTGTAGACGGTAGCTCTTTGTTAGCTGGAGAAGCGGTTGTCTTGTGGACGGTAGCTCTTGATTGGCTGGAGAAGCGGTTTTCTTGTAGACGGTAGCTCTTGGTTAGCTGGAGAAGCGGTTGTCTTGTGGACGGTAGCTCTTGGTTGGCTGGAGAAGCGGTTTTCTTGTAGACGGTAGCTCTTGGTTAGCTGGAGAAGCGGTTTTCTTGTAGACGGTAGCTCTTTGTTAGCTGGAGAAGCGGTTGTCTTGTAGACGGTAGCTCTTGGTTTTCTGGAGAAGCGGTTTTCTTGTAGACGGTAGCTCTTTGTTAGCTGGAGAAGCGGTTGTCTTGTGGACGGTAGCTCTTGGTTGGCTGGAGAAGCGGTTTTCTTGTAGACGGTAGCTCTTGGTTTGCTGAAGAAGCGGTTTTCTTGTAGACGGTAGCTCTTTGTTAGCTGGAGAAGCGGTTGTCTTGTGGACGGTAGCTCTTGGTTGGCTGGAGAAGCGGTTTTCTTGTAGACGGTTGCTCTTGGTTAGCTGGAGAAGCGGCTTTTCTTGTAGACGGTAGCTCTTTGTTAGCTGGAGAAGCGGTTGTCTTGTAGACGGTAGCTCTTGGTTTGCTGGAGAAGCGGTTTTCTTGTAGACGGTAGCTCTTGGTTAGCTGGAGAAGCGGTTTTCTTGTAGACGGTAGCTCTTGGTTAGCTGGAGAAGCGGTTTTCTTGTAGACGGTAGCTCTTGGTTAGCTGGAGAAGCGGTTTTCTTGTAAACGGTAGCTCTTGGTTAGCTGGAGAAGCGGTTTTTCTTGTAGACGGTAGCTCTTGGTTAGCTGTAGAAGCGGTTTTTCTTGTAGACGGTAGCTCTTGGTTAGCTGGAGAAGCGGTTTTCTTGTAGACGGTAGCTCTTGGTTAGCTGGAGAAGCGGTCTTTCTTGTAGACGGTAGCTCTTGGTTAGCTGGAGAAGCGGTTTTCTTGTAGACGATAGCTCTTGCTTAGCTGGAGAAGCGGTTTTTCTTGTAGACGGTAGCTCTTGGTTTGCTGGAGAAGCGGTCTTTCTTGTAGACGGTAGCTCTTGGTTAGCTGGAGAAGCGGTTTTTCTTTTAGACGGTAGCTCTTAGTTTACTGGAGAAGCGGTTTTTCTTGTA